CATATCCTTACCTCTCATATCCTTACCTCTCATATCCTTACCTCTCATATCCTTACCTCTCATATCCTTACCTCTCATATCCTTACCCACGACAGCGCTATATCTGTCCCCACGCGTCGCTTGGCTTTACACCCCGCCAGCTTCGCTAATCTTTTGTTCACCAACCAGACAACTTGCAAGTCGTCGCCAGGCCTACTTTCTCGCCTGTACATCAATTTTTTGCTCGTGTCTTCGGCCTTTATGTTGCTGGGTAGACCGTGCAATACTTCTTTTCATCACCGTCCCTTGCCTTGTGCAGGGTTTTGGAGATGAGAAACTGGTTCTGTATGTGCCTCACGTGCTCATCGGAGGTCGCTAGCTGGATGGGCTGTCGCATCTTTCTCATCGTGATAATACGTCGTCTGCGGTGCCACCGGCGAGAAGAGGCTAAACTCTGCGTGGCGTCCGCAAGCTCGCCGCCATTAACTGCATCCTGCGCTAACCATAAACAAATTCTTGATACATAATTCCTTCCAACACGCAACACCAGAGTTGATCTCGGACCGTGAGGTCGAGCACCACGCATGTCATTGATCTTACCCAGCGACGACTCCTGCGATGGTGAGCCCGAATATCTTCGCGACCTGCTATGAGGACCAGGTCGTCATTGGCAGCGCCGACTGTCGAATCGAGCCATTTTCCTGCTGAGCTTGCATCACTCGCACCTTCGCGAACAAAATCCTCCTCTTCCTTTCTCTTCTCGAACTGGCATGCGACAAGGGAAGTCCATTGCAGTCACGTCTCACCCAGGAAGCAACGATGTTCCGCTGGCAGCACGACTGTCGGCCTCATGCAGAGAGGGTCTTCTCTACACGAACCATTCCTCAGTTTCATTTTGCATCTCCCGAATCTCATATCCTCATGCCCTAGAATCCATATATCCGTTTTCCTTGTCATTTCTAACTATTAGAGCTTCCTGTTGTGTATCTATTCATAATCCCTAGGTCTCGCCACCGTTCCACGTCGAGCTCGAGCCGTCCTCGACGGCCACACGGACCGCCACAGTCGCCGTGCATGTTCGCGCCAAAGCCCTCAGGTGTCACTCTGGTATGCTTGGACTCTCTTCCCCAGTACCCCTCTGTCTATCCACACGTCCCCAAAATGGAAGTTTGTTGTGATATGTCAACCCAAAGAAGCATACTTCAATAAGCCGCCGTTGAAAGATTGCGTGGCTTGAACTGCCCCACCACCCATGCCAAAGGACAAAGCTCTATCACCGTGCTGTTTTCTGGCTGTTTCCTCCAGCTCTTCGGACCAAGGACAAGAGCACCTCAGCACAGTCGTGAAAAGCTGCCCCTCTCCAAGGCTTCAGAGCTCTGCCACATCAAGAACTTGCAGAACAACGGTAGTCTTCCAGGCTATCCGTTCCTGCTGAGCAGGATACAATCCCATTCCAACCTTCCATCTCATGCATTACACGTCGAGTCTAGCTTTACTAACAGTGTCACAGGCATTCCTCGCCGCGGCGTTACCTGTCCCTTTGGTTTCCGGTCCGTCAAGACATCGAGACCCCGACTGCGACCCTGAAGTCCCAGGACCATACCAAAATGCCCTACTAACATCTTCTTCGCTCATATTAGGCGCTGCAGCAGCTTCACCCGTTGACAGCTCGGTCGACTCGTCCTCGTATTCCAATGACGGTCCTCGCGCACCCACTCCATCGAGTTCGTTCGATCCAGATGCAACGGAGGTACAAGCAGGTTTGTTTGCCCTATACCCGCAGACACAACAAGTGGCGTTGACACATCTATCCAGACTGGAGTGACGGGGCTTCACCGAGCTACACGTCTGCCGTCACCTTTACCGATCCTCATCTGAATATCCAAACCGTCAATATCACCGAGCTACCTTCTTCACAAGTGCCTACAGTGACCTCGGCAAATCAAAATTTCCCGGACACAACAGGGGTGAGCTCCTTCAAGAGATTGTGCCATGCAATAACTAATCGGTCTAGTCGCTTATCACCACCCTCGAAACAGAGGGCAACCCGCCTGTGCAGCCTTTCCCCACAAGCGTGCCGAGCGTCACCTCAGCCACCTTGCAACCTCTGGATAGCAGCGTCCTTTTCGGCAATGCAACGGCCGCGAGTACGCTGAATCCAGTGACAGGGACCATTACTCTCCCGGTATCGACTTTCGAGAATGTCGTCACCACGCAGACCGTCACCAGCGTGCCGGTTCAAACAACAGCCGTGATCACTGCAGTCACAGTCCTGCCCACAACGATTACTGCCGACGGCTCTGTTGTAGCCACTTCTATCGCAGGCACAACCGTTGTGAACACGACTGGGACAGTCCTTGTCGAGACTACATTGGTGGCATCCTCAACTGTCATTGGAACGGTGGCAACCACTCTTACCACGGAACTTGGCTCAATCTCCAGTCTCCCCACGGCTACCTCAACCTGCCTATTGAGCATGGGCTGCTACGGGCAGGACATTTTCCAACCTGTCGCGCTGGGGCCACCTCCGAACAGCATCGGAATCCGTGACGGCCATCCGGTTCCACGGCTGGGCATCTCGGACCCGGGCGGGCCACTGGAGACCAACAAATTCTACCAAAACTTCGTTTTGGGGTCCCAGGGTTCTCCCAGCTTTGTGATGCCGTATTCATTGACGTGGGCTAAGGGTAGCGGCAATGCGCTGAGCTGGGGAATTGCTATTGCTCATCTAGATCAATCGCAGAAAGTCTTTGGGCCCATCAACGCCGCCATACCCAATACACCTGCAGGGTACTATATCAACGCCATCGGCATCCAGTCACTTATCTTGTCAGCAGCAGAGTTTGGCCCAAATACCGCTCTGACCACCGACTCCTTATTGCCGTTCTCCGTCAATGTGCGCCTTCAGCCGTCACCTGGGTCCGCTTCGGTACTCACTATGCCCGTTGTGCAAGGAATGCCCTTTGTGACTGGGCAATACACCAATCTTCAGCCGGCCATACAAAGTAGCGTCTTCTTCAGAAACATCGCCGCCGCTGGACAGCCGGCCCCGGGCATCTACAAGTACAGAGTGACTTTGGAAGACGGAAAGATCTGGCTGATTTATGCCATACCAGCCAATGGACTGACGCCGAACTTCCAGCTTGTATCCAGTACTCTGCTCCGGGGACTGCCGAATTGGTATGGTGATATCCAGATTGCGAAACTTCCGGATGACGCCTCGGAGTCCATATATGACAACGCTGCCGGCGCTTATCCAACTGCTGGCCACATCGCCGGTTCTGCTCACAACACGACCGCTCAGTACAGCTTATCTTGGTCCAAAGGAGGAGCGTATTCGGCCAACACCACACTTCTCATGTTTGCTTTACCCCACCATTGTGAATCCTTTGACGCCAATACACGAGGTAACATGACCAACCTGACACTGGCTACGACGACGAAAGGCAAGGCCACGGCAGTTGTCGGCGATTACTGGGTGTTGGAGGAGACCAGTCTCCCCGTATCACTTGGTTTTGCACCATGGCGGCCAGAGGATGTGGGTTCTCAAGAGTCATTAGCCCTTTCTCCGGATGCACTCTCCATCATGCAAAACATCTCTGCAATCGAGGCCTCTCAGAACATGTCAGCTCAGACGAATCTCAACAGCATGTATTACAGTGGGAAGGCTCTCAGCAAGTTCGCACAGCTCGTTTACACGATGCATGATCTTCTCGGTCAGCAAGACTTGGCCAAAGCCGCCTTACTAGAGCTTGAAAGCTGCTTCGAAGTCTTCTCGACCAATCGTCAGCAATTCCCACTGCTCTACGACACAGACTGGAAAGGGCTGGTGTCTTCTGCCAGCTATGTGACGGGAGACCCTGGAGTCGACTTTGGCAACTCGTATTATAACGATCACCACTTCCACTATGGGTATTTCCTCCATGCTGCTGCCGTGATTGGATATCTCGATCCAACCTGGCTTGTCGCCAATAAAGACTATGTAAATGCGCTGGTCCGGGACGTGTCGAACCCCAGCTCCCTGGACCAGTGGTTCCCGGTCTTCAGATCCTTTGACTGGTATCATGGACATTCCTGGGCCAAAGGATTGTTCGAGTCTGGCGATGGAAAAGATGAGGAATCGTCTTCTGAGGACGCCATGTTTGCATACGGACTGAAGATGTGGGGCAAGACCATTGGTGATGCCTCCATGGAAGCTCGAGGCAATCTGATGATCTCGGTGCTTTCACGCAGCCTCCAGAACTACTTTCTGATGACATCGGACAACACCAACCAGCCTTCCGATTTCATCGGCAACAAGGTCACCGGGATCCTGTTCGAAAACAAGGCTGACCACGTGACCTATTTTGGCGCTGATCTGAGCTATGTTCAAGGGTGTGTCCAGCCATTCTGGGTTTCCCTTGGCCTAACCACTGACTCTTCCTAGAATCCACATGATCCCAATCATGCCATTCTCGACACTGACCCGGACGCGTAAGGCAAATGTTCTGTTTGCTGTCGTACACTACTGACCATTCGGTGACAGAGCAATTTGTGCACGAGGAATGGATGACATATTTCGCTGACGGAGCCGTCCGACAAGCCATTGATATTGCCGGTGGCTGGAAAGGTGAGATTCATAGCCCTGCAATTCATCTCGCCATGCTGACTGATCCGCAGGTATTGTATACGCGAATCTTGCGACCATTAACCCGACAGCAGCATACAACTTCTTTACCCAGCCAAACTTTGACTGGGGCTGGATTGACGGCGGAGCATCTCTAACGTGGTACATCGCGTACAGTGCTCTGCTTGGAGGAGCGACGACATAACGACAAAGAGGTCATGAGGAACGGCATTCATGCAAATTCAAGCATAGCGATGGGCAGGGCATGCATAAAGGGAGTTTTGTGCTATTTCAGCAGAGCGGAGTATCCAGGCGGAAAGAGGCTACCTTTGGAATGATAGCGATCGGCATCATGGTTAATGCAATAGCAAGAGCGGTGGGCGTGTTTGGCAGAAGGGATACAGACAATATCACCACCATTCTCCCGCTTTTGATATGCTGGTTCTAGGTTCGTAAGATTTCTCTACATCTCGATGATTGCGTTTCACTCCGAGGCCAGGACGTCACCACATGTCAGGCTTCTTGAGTCTTCGCCCTTGGAGTGGTGAGGCTGTTGACTTATCGAATTTGGTTGTTCGGCGTGCTGTATTCAACCTCGGACGGAGAACCAGTCCCTGATTGAATAACGGTAACTTCCTTCGACCGCCTTGTTCAAAATGCTCTCCCCAGGCTGACAGTATTTGACGACTCTTCGTCAGCAAGCTTCCCGCCTAATGCACTTTTTATCCAAACCAACTCAACCTACCTACCTACCATAAGGCAAGTGTCCTTGAATGGTACCTGACCGCCGGGCCTCAACCTGGAATGCTATGGCGAATGCCAGCCGTCCAGTCAGTGACTGACTGACTGACTGGCTGATTGACTGACCGACTGACCGACACTCAGTTCTATGTAACCTCCGTGCCAGGACCAGGGTATGGTTACTAATTACTGTACCAGAGCGCGCGTGGAGTTTTTCGGCCTGCTACCGTAGCTCATACCTTGCATAGCTCATACATTGCATAGCTACACAACTCACACCTCCTCCATGGCCCGCCTCAACCGCAAGGCCCCCTCCTCACCACTCTCCTCCCACGTCTTCGCCCTCCCCAGAACCCTTCGCGCGGCACTGCGCGCCTTGAACCGCCACTTGCCCTCGACCTCGCCGCCTGTACGCTCTCTCTGTTTCGGGCCCAGGTCGGCGTACCGGCGCATCATCCAGATTGTCTTGTCGACGATCTCGGTCCACTGGCTCGCTGAGATATTGGTGAAGTCTTGGTCTGCTGCCGTTGCGGCAGGGGCGGAGGAGCTCGTGGGGTTGAGCGTCGCAAGCCAGGCTTTCTCGGCTTGCATGAGGGATTGGTGAGGGCGGTTGCGCCACTGGGAAATCCGGCTCAGGAGGGTGTATAGGTTTGGTGAGGACGTGGCGAGGGGGGTCACTTGCTTGTCGATTAGGTGGAGGAAGGAGCGTGGCGTGTAGGGGAGTTTGAAATTGGGGGGTTGTGTCGTTGACGCTGACGCTGACGCTGGTGCTGATGCTGATGCTGATGCTGGTTCTGACGCTGGTTCTGGTCGTTCTGGCGCCGCTGGTGGATTCTTCTCGTCGCCAGTTGTCTTGTGCTCAACGCCCGCTTCTGCCTGGGGCTGCTCTGCTTTCTCTGCCCCTTCTGCCTCGGGCCGCTCTGCTTTCTCTGCCTCCTCCCCGTCCCCATCCCCGTCCGGTGACGGATACTTCCAATTCTCAATCACATACTCGGTCAGAACCTTCAGAATCCCCAGGTCGATACAGCTTTCTCCTTCCTTTTTGCCGCGCAGTTCAATCACCCGGCTCATCGCCTGGATGATTTCCGCCCACGGTGTTCCCGCGCTGGGTGGGATGCTTGCCGCGACGGTAAGGTAATTGTCCCAGATGCGGGGGTCGTCGCGCTTGAGCGTCGCGGCGCGGCGCAGGGCGCGGAGGGCGTCGCGGACGTGGCGGTAGGGGTCTACTTTTCTCTCGGGCGACAGGGCGCGGTCGGTCTGATTTTGGTCCTGGTCCTGGTTCTTATCCTTCTCTGTCGGCGGAGCGAATGCCACTTTCTCCTCCGCCACCGGCTTCGGGAGGCTAAGCAGTGCGACGGCGAGGTTGGACCAACTCTCTGCATCCTGATCCTCCAACTGTACGCAGCGGGTGAAGGATTCCACCGCGGATGTCCACTCCTCCAGTTCAAGCTGGATGCAGCCCAGAGAGAACCAACTCGCTCGGTCGAGGCGAGAGATTCTCAGGGCGAGACGATACGCCTCGGCTGCGCGCTGGTAGTCGCGTTGCTTCGTCAGGAAGTACCGGCCCAGAGAGCGTTGGGCGCGGGCGTACCGGGACGACGAAACCGTCCATGAAAGGGCGTAGTAGTCTGGCTGGGAGACGATGTCGCCTAAGATACAGAGCAGGCGTGGCGCATCTGCTGGTGGTGGTGATCTGAGCTTCTCTTTACCTGGCGCGACCGTTTCTTGTGCAGCGGTGGTGGTGGTGGTGCTGCTATTGCTGTTGTCGTCGGTGAAGAGAAGATTCTTGAGCAGTTCCACGGCCTTGGCTTCTTGGTCCGTGGCCGCGAGACACAATGCCACTTCGGCGTGCATTTGCAGGCGCGTGTAGATCTCCAGCGCGGTTTTGAGACCGCCCATCGACGTCCAGCGTTGGGCGAGTTCCGCCTCGAGCTCCCACCGGAGGGGCGGCGAGAGCTGGTAGATGTACTTGAGGCGTTCAGCCACGGAGGCAGACTCCGAGGGTTTGGGCTTCGGTAGGAATGTACTGGTTCCTGTGCTCGCAGTGGTGGACGTTGTATCGTTTGACTCGTTTGACTCGCTTGACTCTGCTTTCGAGGGCGGAACGCTCTGCGACGTCTCGGCAATGACTTGGTCGACCAGCGCTTGCAGCTGTAGAAGGCCCCGCTCCGCCGTTCTGGCGCGATAGCCTTCTATGCGGCTGCGAACGAGCAAAGCCTGCGTATAGACCTGCCAATTGGACGAGCCGCCGTCCAGGACCCTCGTGGCGTAGGGGAGTGTTTCTTCGCGCACCAGACCGTCTTCCGGCGAGGTGTTGGTGATGCTGCTGGCCGTGGCGAGGAGGATGGCGCTGTCCATGGGGAAGAGGAGCGGTTGATCTGCCGGGTCGAGCGCCGCGAGCTCTGGTGGCAAGGACGACTGGGAGGAAGCGACGTGCGTCATGGTGTCTACAGACACGGACGGAGAGAGCGGCGAGGATGCTGACGGCTCGGCGGTCGTCTTGAAGTGGATGCGCTCGAGAAGCGTATCGTCGTTGAGTAGGACATTTTCGGGTTGAATGGGCCGGTTGCCCTGTGGAGATGTAGGTTCCTGCTGGTTTTTTGTCGAAGTCGATGTCGATATCGATATCGGTGTCATTGTTCGTTGGGGTAGAGGTAGAGATAATGAGGACGATGCTGTTTCAGCGTCCGCGAGTCCGTGACTCTCGGCCTTACTGTTCTTTCGACTGCTGTACGGCTCCGGTTCATGGTCTCTACTCTTCGCCAGCACGACGAGCTGACTGGTATCGTTCTCCTGGAACTTCGTCCTCTTGCCCAACGCACCAGTCAGAACGAAGTGAAAATCGCGAGTCGACGCCGCCCTGGCGAGGTCTGTCCTGGCCAGCGCATCATCTCCATAATACGTCTGGATGACGGCGCGCTCGACCATGAACTCGACGTAATGTTCCTCGGCGGCGGACCCGCCAAAGGCCAGCCGCGCAGAGAGCTGCTGTTCCAGGACGCCCGCGTCCGAGTAGATGACGTCTCGGAGACTGGGGGACTCCTCCGACAGTAATTTCTGGTGCCAGAAGTTGACCCGCATGCGCGCTCTCCGCCCGTTGAAACCCGCCTCGGCCAGCGTGGTCGTCGACATGATGACCTTGGCGAGCCAGAACAGCTCAATATGCGGCGTCAGGGCGTATGGGCGACAGCCGTCCACGGAAAGGTGCTGGAACAACCCCTCCCTGAGCACTGCCACGCCCTCCCCTCGGCGGTACGTCTCCGGAAAGATGACTTCTTCCGGGTCGAAGTCGAGAGGCGGTCCCGTGCAGTTGGCTTGCAGAAACGCCTCGAGCGCCGTATATCCGATCTTCAGGATCGAGAGCTGCTGCGTCGCGTCGCTGAGCACGAACTTCAGCCTCGAGGTGACGCCGCTGATGAAGGGCGTGGGTTCTGCGTGGGTGGCATCAAAGCCGAGTAACTTGCGGGTCAGCGTGTCGTGGAGGACTTCGAGGAACGACGTCCCCATCTTCGGGTACGGGAAGAGGTGCTCCATGGTCGTTCACGGTGGACTGTGGCAGCAGATATCCTTGGTGGGAGCCACAAGGCAAAAATCGTGGCTTTTAGCGCAAGAGTCGTGCGACGCCGAAAATTTTGTACACACACTGGCTGACTGATCGGTGACTGGGTCGATCAGCGTTCAAGCGAACACAGAAATCGAGGCGCAAGGAAATGATCCCAACGAAGAATTGTATTGACAAGCTCGAACCGCAGCGATGCATGTATGCACGCGACACAACATTCCAGGAGCCACGCCGGGCAGCTGCCGCCTGGTGTCAAAGCAAAGTCAGGGTCAGTGAAGCCGTGCAGTGAGATGGTGGCGAATCAGAACAGGACAGGACGACGATCGACCGAACTGCTGCTGGCTGGAGTCTTTTCTTTGTGCGCGCATCTCTCAGGTGTCACTCACTCAAATGTCACTCACTTACAAAGCGGGGAAGTGCAAAAAATCAAAGATGGAGATGGAAAAAGTGCGTATCAACGAAGTCGAGTCTCGCTCAGATGGGATTCATTTCTCATTCACACATACACATACACAGACACACGCCACATGCACACACCTTCTCCCGAGCATCCCAAGTACAGCAGGAGATGTCTTCTCGGTACAATTGTTGATACATCGCACTGCCCATAGCCAATGTACAAACGAGGGTATCTCACAGAAATGTAAAAAATGGGTCCACATGTCACCGCCAAACAGATTGTCTCCTTCAATTGTGGTTGGGGAAAGCAGAATTCTGCGTCCTGTTCGCATGGCTTTTGTCTATATTCGCTTTCCAGTTCGGCCGGCCTGAGCCGCCTTTCGCTTTCTATACGCACTTCTATACTGAATGCGGCCGATGGTGCCAATTCCGTACGCCACGAAGAACAGCAACGTCCAGGCGCATGTGACGATCAACCCAGTTGGAAAGATGCCCAGCGTCGTGCCAGGCAGCACAAACGGCGCTGCAGCTGCAATTGCGGCCGTAGCTGCCGTGGGCGTCACAAGCCCGTTTTCGAATTCATCCTTGAACTGTCCGACCACGAACCAAGCGCCGTCCGCGGCACTGAGGTTGGCCATGATCGGCTGCGAGGAGTCAATGGCGGCATTGATCTTGACGTCAGGGAGCATCAACGACATGACCTGGGTGTCGTTCAGCTTCGTCAGGTCGAGATTCGATTCGAAGGTGCCGAACAGGGTGTATTGTTGAACCTCGGTCATGCTGCTCTGTCGCGGCTCCAGATCTCGCTTTCTCCTCTTGGTCAGCGACTGAAACGTGGTGCTGGTGGGATAGGTCAAGCTGATCATGATATCATTCACAGGCACATTCGCAAACTCCCCACTGGGCGTGAACATCTGGTAAAGCCGGAGATCCGCCTCGAAAGCGCCAGCCGTCTCGTCGAACTGGATGATATTGTAGCAGGCCGCCATTCCGGCATCATTCTCGACAGCGCTGAGCTTGCTGAGACTGCTGACACAGGCGTCCGCAATGGACTGGTTCATCGCTGCGTTGGGCGCCGTCACGGAGAGATTTCCGTTCGAGGACATCTGGGGCACTCGTCGAAAGACTTTGTTGACATCCCTCTTCAACCCCTCCTCGATGTAATTTCTCCTTCGGATGGCGTTTGGTAGGTGGAGGAGAGCTTTGGCTGCAATCACATCGGCTTCGGCCAACAGCAACAAAGCTGAGGCTACAATGCTTGTAACATGCATCTTGTTTTGTTTTGTTTCTTGTTGCTTGACGGTCTGTATTCGTTCGTAGATGGTGGTTCGAAGTTCAAAATGAGTCGTCGAGACTGTTGATCAGACCAAGCACTGCTTGTTCAAAAGGAATGTAGGCACGGCCAGCGACTGCCAGAAAAGAATGGAAATGCTCGAAGAGAAGGGCGTTGGAGACCTGCCCGCGAGCGCGTACTGATGAGAATGAATGAAGCTGGGAGGAAAGGAAAGAAAGGAGAGTGTTCCTGGCCTGCGCAAAGAGTGTGGTCTGATGGGGTGTATCACAACCCAAGACGGGGAGGGACCAGTATAAAACGTTTGGCGTAGGGGATTGCCTCCCGTCACGTTGACTTGACACATGCTGGTGGACCCAAAGGGATACTCGGTCTGTGGGGTCTTCCACCGACCCAGCCCATCGCGTCGCGTAGTGTACGGAGCACAGGCACAGGAGATGTTGAGCACTGAGAGACGACGGCGAGGACCAAGTGGAGGCTGCGATGAAACATGACAAGGCTCGAGCAGACCGACGCTCAACTCGGCATGGTCCAGGTGGGATGTCGCAAGAGGGGTTGCATGGGGCGTGACCCGCACAAAGACCGCGGCGTCAGAACGCAAGCGAATCGCTGGCCTGCTGCTCTCGTCGACGAGCGTGTGCTGGTGGTTAATCTGGGATTCGGTCGTGTGGTCGTGCACCGGACGACGCAGGCTGCGCAGGCGAAGGGATGGCGTCTCGGAAGTGGCTGCTTTGCCGGCAGATTCGACACAATGGCGTGCGCCGGACTGCGGCAGGGGCAGGGACGCCGCTCCGTCATTGGCACCCCGGCCCTCCCTTCTCCGCCTATCGTCTCAGGCTCGATCTTGAAACTCAAGCTTATCCGCGCCCCTGTCCGTCGTTGTGCTCCGAGGCTCCCTATCCATTCGCTCTGGGCCTCTGAATTTTTGACCCGGCCTTGTTTCGGGCCACAGCAGAGCCGCCGCGCATGGAAACCAATTCAGCATATGAGCAGCTCTGGTCCAACCACCGACACCGGCAATCTCAAGGGCATACAAACATTTCTGTCGCGACCAGACCGACCGCCGTGTCTATTCTGGACTACCCGCGCGCGCCTGCGAGGCTGGTATCAAGGACAATGGTTATTATTGATTATTGACAACGAGGCTGCCCGCTGCTTGCGCGCGCATCGTCGAGCTCGGCTGAAATGGCCGACCCATAAACAGCGGCGCGTGACTCTCATCATTGCTCAAGATCTCGCAGCCACAGACTGCGTTGCTCATTAAACATTTACCATTGCAAGGGCTGGGGCATGACCGTAACCCTCAAGGCCATGTTCAGGATAGGCGCACATGTACTTGGTCATCTCAGTGATGTCGCCCATTGGATCGCACACCACCGTCAATTCCCCGACCCTTGCACCAGACGTAAAAACTCCCTGACTCGCGGTAACTGTGAGTTGTTGCTCATCTCCTTCTGCTCACTGATGACGGCCTGCACCAGATTGTCCAGCAGCTCGTCGACCTTGTCTTCATCTGCGCCTGTGCACAAGCTCACAATCTTCTTGTATCGCTCTTCCAGCTCGCTGCTGCGAGCCTTGAGCGTCTTGGCCGTCTGCTCCAGTTGTTGATTGTGCCGCTGATACACCTTGGCACGCCCAGACATGACCTCCGCTCTTTCCAGGCGAGCCAGGAGATTGCCTTGCTCCTGGTTCAAGGCCATGTTGCTGGGGTCAGCTTCTCCGTTCTGCAACAGTTGTGCTATTACCGGCAGCTGCCCGTCCAGGTCGAGGCCTTTATCGGCTTCGCCGACCGCGACGTGCTCCTGTATCGTCGCGGGGGGGTCCATCGCACTGAGTTCGGCGCGCAACTTGGCTGTCGCCTGCCGCAGATTGGCAATCTTCTGCTCCAATTCGTCCTTTTCTCGGACCTTGACGCGCGCATCTTCCAGGCGGCGCCGCTCTTCTGCGAGAGCGTTGCCGGACTCCTTCAGCGCTGCATTGGTCTTATCTAGTATGTCCTTCTTCTCTTTCATCTCCGCGGCAAAGTCAGCTTCAGACTGTGAAAGAACTTCTCTTATTGCTGCAATCCTGGTTAGCATTTCCAAGGGCTCAGGTGAGTAGTGGCTCTTACAAGTCATGAGTCCCTCTTGAGCATCCTCGAAGGACTTCTGAGGGGATCCATTAGCTATCGAAGGTTGCTCAAACAGGTTGGGCAAATTCGGGTCAGTGATGCCACCAGTTGCCTGGCCTTGCACTCCGAAATCCACAGGGGCAAGTCCGCCACGGTTGGCGATGTTCGCATCAGCTCCAACTTCAATCAACTGATCGATGATGGCAGTCGTACTGGTTCTTGCGGCCAGGTTGAGTGCTGTGTCTCCCGCTTTGTCTTGTGCATTGACAATCTCTGACATGAACCTTGCCAAAGTCATCGGATTCGCCTGACTCTGGCTGTTGACTCCATTCATCGCCTCGAACGACATGATCGGCTGCGACGCCGTTCCTTGTCGGATGACGTACTCTAACAGCGACTCCAGGTAATATTTTCCCACAGACGCTCTGCCCTTCATTGCGGAAGATACAGCAATATGGTGCAGAAGTGTTCGGCCGCGCCCGTCTCTGACTTCGATACTGGGTCCAAGAAGCTCGAGCAGAGCCGGGAAGCTGTTGCGATCCAGATTGTTTCGTGCTTGACATGCGGCTATCAGTGCCGTTTCCCCTCCACTGTTGGCCCGCCGCATATTGAACCCCTTGTCGAGCAGCTTCCGAACTAGGGCTATGCGTGCCAGAGTCGCAGCCCAGTGCAACGCAGTATTACATGATCCATCAATGGGCATCTCAAACTCGTCACCACTTAGGCGCAGGAAAGCCGGGTGGTCGTCAAAGTCTGTTCTTTCGGGGTCGATGAATAGTTCAAGCAGAAGATCCTTTTTTTGCTCTTCCAGGGGGCCGGAGGGGTGAGGGAGTGGTTCAAGCCCATAGTGTAGAGGATCCGAGGCGATGAAAGACTGACTGGGCTGTGAGAAGAAGGAGACGTTCGGCTCTGTGGGAGTACCGTCTTGCATGCTGAGGTCAATCGCACCATCATAGAGGAAAGAAGACTGAGGTGAAGGTCGAATGCGCTTTCGTGGCGGCTCTTGTGCGTCAGTGTTTGGAAATTCCGCAAAACTTGCGCCCTGGCTCATGATTCCGCCATTCGTGCCGAAGCTGTCCTGGGTCGTCATACTGGGCATACTCTGCTGGCTCCCGTATATGGGTTCCTGGCCGTAGTTGAAGGGTTGAGATGGTCTTCGGGGCCCAGCCGACCGACGTCCATCCATATTCGGTGAGTCCAGGCGTGTTCGGTTGAGTGCATGGATGGCGTTTGCTGCTGTACTGGACATGTTCTTGAAAAACGTGCCGCCAACCGATTGGCCGGGAGGTCGACCATCACCACCATACATCCGCTTTCTCTGCGCGGCCATGGCTTGTTCTTTCGTCGGCGTTTCAATGCCCTGCGACGCGCCCGGCATGCCGTCCGAGCTGATCTCGTACTCCAGAAGTGGGAGCAGAAGCTGTTCGACGCCATATTGTCTGCAGAACTCGCGACCGCGCTGGTAGTTGACCCAAGTGCCTTGGTATTTGCCGTAGCCGCCTTGGACTTTTTCATGCTCGCCGGTGATTTCTTTCTCGAGCACCTTCGTTCTCTTCCCTTTATCGACCCCCGCAACCTTCAGTATCTGGGTGGCATTCAGCCAAGAGTCCGCTCGCCGCCGCATGACCGCAACACCATTCACCTCCATCTCAAAAACAGAGACATTGGAGTATACAGCCGTATATATCTGCGGCTTCACGCCATTCGAGTATAGGTTTGGCTGCGCAAACATATTTGCCTCGGAATATCCACCAAAGCTGTTTGGGGCAGCCATGATGCCTCCGTTCGTGCTGTACGCCAGTTGCTGTTGCTGTGCCTGACCTTGTTGGTGATGCTGAGATGCTGGTCTCGGGGGAAGAGGGGTCGGCGCGGGTGTGGAAGCGACCGACTGAGCTTCGTACGGGCCCATAGACGACGGATCTTGCGGAAATGGGGCGTTCATGGAATTAGAATGGCCGTGCTGGGGAAATGATGGAGGTGGCTGTGCATAAATACCGCCTGATGCCATGATGAATGCGCAAGCCGGGCAGGTCGCTCAGTCAAAAGCGTTAGTCGCAAGAGTGGTATTTGTTGAGCTCGGTCAGAGCATATCGGCGCAAGTGCGATATCGATTCTGCTGATGAGCTGCGCCCAGGGGTTCTTGAAAAGCAGCTTTCTCACCAACTTCTTTCTCCTGCGATGGTGGCCTGCGTAACACGATAGGGCCGAACTTCCAACACTAGATGTATGCGACGAACTTTCGAAGTGGAAGCGAGCGCAGTGCACGGGTCGAGTCTCGAACTCGGCTGAGGGATGTTGCACGGAGCAGGGGGACAATCTCGGTCTTTTGACGCTGTCTGGCAGTCAGGCAAGGCAGTGCGCAGTGCTGCTGGTGTCGGTCTCGTCACCGCTGCTGGATATAAACAGTCTGTTCTGCGCAGCTGTAATCCTCGTGAAGGTGGTATGTGCAGCCGTTCGTCCTGTCCTTCTCCTCGGGTTACAAGGTGCCGTCGAAATTGGTCACGTCTTTTGGCACCGTGTGGAGCGGGGGATTCACTGGATTGTCTGCCAAACTCGCGTCCTTTTTAGCGCGTTTTGCGCGGGCTTTTACGAGAGTTTCATTCTCCACTCGTCACTCACCTTCCACTCACTTGTCCAGTGGCTTTCACTTTCCACACAGCTGGGACCAACAATGTGAATGCCTCCTCCAGAATCCAACCCAGCACACATCTACCGCGCGTGCCTTCGCGAATGCAGCTACCTCCCACTTCCGCAATGTCGCTCTTACATGCGCAAATTCACCATCGACAAGTTCCGTAGTTTCATACCGAGACGACCGGGCAAAAATAGGCCCGGTGCAAAGAACGATGTGGGAAACGTCCCAGTGCTCGCTCCGGAGAAGGTCACCCATCTACTCAGGCTAGCGAGGAAATACGCAGCGGTTCTCCGACGTGCGAACGATGGACATACTACTCAGTTGGAGAAAGTCCTGCGGATGACCTACGGCAGAGTGGGACCCAACAAGTATAGACTTCTGGCAAAGTTTCTATATCCGAGTACAGATGCTGCTGGTGGGCGTTCAACGCTACTAATCGATCGCAATGGTGGAGAGGAGGATGGAGCTAAGGTCTCCAAACGGGCTGGTGGTGATGATGGACTGGAAGAACTGCTGGAGGACGATGAAGGCGCTGAAGATGCCAGCTCAACACCAGAGAAAGACACTTTATACCCCTCGCTCTACCCTACAGTTTCCACCACCACCACCACCACCACCACCACCACCACCACCTTCACAACCTTCTACAAAGAGGCCGAAGTACCCGATCCGCCCGTTGAAGAGAAACCTCCCAAATGGAAACTCGATGTCCCTCCCCGCCTGCAAGCCCTGCTGGTCTCCCAGTCCATCGAACAACCTCATTTTACCCGCGCGGGTTCATCTCCACGTGTGAGACTGAAGTTCTCCCCGCCGACTCGTACAATCTGGGGCAAACCCCTCCCCTTCTCGAGGTACAAGAACCAGAGGATAAAATGGTACAACCACAATATGCAAGCAGCATTACCTCCTCTAGAATCAGAGGCAGCATACTGGGAAGTCCACAATCTTGTGACGGGAAGGCAGGAATTCCCGGCTCTTGTCCCGAGAAGGACGCCCGCACGGCTGAGCGCTGAGGATGATCTTCGGGCATTCCTCCAGCAACAATCCAGCCTGATTCTCGAAGGTCCCACTGTAGATACCAGGCTCAAGGATCTACAGAAGAATCGACCACATGAGATTACGCCACGGTTTCTGCAGAGGATGCTTTCGCGGGTGGTTTTAAGTCAGACGCCCTTCGTCAAGAAAGCTGCTCCAGGCACAAAGACGGAGGCTGATAGCGGTCTGGTGTTTTACTGGGACGACGGCATGTCTCATCAGCGACATTCGAGAGAGGTAGAGAGCATACGCAAGCCAGTCCCGGAGAAACAGGCCGGACTTTTGTTCGCTTGACAGCGGTAGTTGCTTTCGGGGTAACGCCCCCAAACGTCCAACGCACGGGGCATCATCAATCAATAAGCCATTCAACGTGCCACAGTAGGTAGGACTACCTGTCCCATACAATCGACCCACCATATGGGTTCTTTGCATACGTGCTTCAGGACCGAGCGTCAATCGTCCCTCCCATCCTTGCAAATGACCACTTCACTGATCTTGGTGACGGAAAGACTGGCTCCCTTGCCAGGACACTCGCTTGCACGAACCAATCCGTCTAACAAGTCCGTCCTTTCCACACTGTGGCATACATTCCAGGATCATTCACGTATACACACTCTGCGAATTTTACCGTTAGCAATTCACCTCTCGCACCAACCAAAGGCAAGAACAACCCACCTCGGTATAAGCATTGACCTGCAATCCCCGCTCGGCCATCTCCTCGTCGCACAGGAAATCCAGCGGCATCCAAACCAGATGTCCCCGAATCTTATCCATCTCCTTCCTGACAACCTCGACCGGCATGTGCGGGTCGTGCAAATGGCCCTGCTTGATCGTCTTGCGGGGCGCAAACGCGTCGTAGTCCTTCCACGATTTGATGTTGTTGTCCGGGTCGGCGCGGAATAGGTGGCGATAGATGTCCGTGTTGGTGGTCGCTTGTGTGGTCCAGAGATCCCAGACGCGGTCGGCGAGCGGGTCGGCGACCAAGTCCCATTCTTCGCCCGAGTACGTGTCGTTCATGCACACGGTGGGTGGTTGCGCGTTGGGATCGTCCTTTCCGTCCACCCCTTGGGCTTCGATGAGGCCCAGATGTTCGCGCCAGAGGTGGCGCCGGAGCGTGGCTGCGTGGTGGCCTGCCGTGTAGGGTTTGCCGTCCATAGTCGTTTCGAGCGGTTGTGTGTCGGTCATGACAATGGCGAGTTCCGAGTCGTGGGAGCCGAGCAAAGAGCGGTCGTTGATGTTGCTCGACCCGCAGATGACGGTCTTGTCGTCGGCGATGAGCAGTTTCGCGTGGATGTACAACTCTTCTTGGACGAAGTTCTCCTTCTCGGCCTCCGGGTCGCCTTCCCACGGTTCTTCGCTGACCAGGCCGCCACGCGCCATGGCGTCTTCGGCGATGGACTCGGCGGATGTTACTGGGTCTCTGATGTCGAGGTTCTTGCGCGCAGCTTCGAAGCGACGTTTGCGATCGATGATGCGGTGTTGTTCGTCCTCGTCGATGCTGTGGCCTTTGTTCTTGCCATGCGAATCAGGCTCGCTTTTCTCCCCCTCATAACCGTGGATGCCGCTACCCATAATCTCTTCGGCTTCGGCTCGTTGAAGCTCTTGGTACGAGATGCCGGATTCCTTCTCTTGCTGGATGAGGGTGGGCGTCTTGTCAATGCGGTCGTACGCGCGCAGGTTGAAAACAAAGATATACTTCGCTGGATCGATGCCCGCGGCTTTCAGTTGGCCGTGAATGGAGTGTTCGCCGCGGTTGATGCTCTTGTATTGGTAGTCCATGATGGCTCGGGTGCCGACGGCGGCGTCGTCGCGCAGGTCCCCCGCAAAGCCCGGAATGGCTGGGATCAGTATGATGACTCGGAATTTGCGGTTTTCTTTTTCAGCCCTGATACAGGCGTTGACAATTGCGCGTCCGACGGTGTTGTGGATGGGGGATTGATGCTCGCCTGTGGATGTGATGAAGAATTGATTTTCAATGTAAACGTAGTGCTGGGCGTTTTCGATCACCTCTTTATACGCGTTCTGAATACTATGGTCGAGGAGGATGCCGCTGCTCCAGTCATCGCTGCTTCGAACGATCTGGGCGTGCACAGAGCCCGGGTTTTGGAGCCCTTTGCCCTCGAGCGGGCTGAGGGGATGCTCGATATACTTGCCAACAGGATGTTTGGGCCTCTGAACAGCGATGAGGTCTTCGTCGGGGTTTGACCCATCTGCCCTTGAGCGAGTGGTCATGCATAGATAGTCGACGCCTTCATCGCGCTTGTACTTGTCCCTCTTGACAAAATTCCACCTGAGGACGAAGTGCTCGGCAATGTCGACCACGCATTCGCCTATCACAGCCATCGCGACATCGTGCCACGGCATTCTGCCGTATTCGGTCTTGTTAAGTTCGTTATGCGACCAGTCTTCCACAGTCTGGAAGTCCATGATTCTGAGATGATCGGTCAGGAAGCCCCGGTTGAGCAAGAGAATCACTTACCGATTGTTGTTGAAGTCCTGGCCTGGGAAGATTTCATTGACGACTCCGGAAGGATGAACATCGGCCAAGATGTGCTGACGGACATCCCACCTCCCATAACACAGGTCCAATCCGCCAATGAAGGCCAAGTGGTAGTCGATGACAATGAACTTCTCGTGGTGGGCCCAATAGAAAGTCATGTCGCCGAAGTTCTCGAAGACATTGTGGTCTGGATGTCGCAAGACGTGGATGTTCCCATGGCCAGGGCTCCCTTCCGGACACAGAGCGCGCAAAGCGTGCTTCGTGTGAGCCGAATTGCAGGTCAAAGCTTGCTGGACCTCTTTGTACACGATCACGTATACTTGAACGCCACGTTCTGCGGCACGCTTGATGACCTGATCAAGACGCCATTCCTGGTTGAAGAAAGGTGGTCGGCGCAGGAAGAGTTCGGGAGACAGCCACCAATCCTCAATGTAGATGGTCTCTTTGGCATTTTCGAGGCCAACGGACACGGCATAAAAGTAGTCGCGACCATCGACGTACCATTTGATCTTGTTGTTGTCACGCTCTGGGAAGAAAGACTGGAAGCGATGCGATTCACAAGCCGCCGTCCTCTTGCGGTCGGTCTCTTGCTCGTGCTCCTCATCATGGCGGTGATTCTTGTTGACGAGGTTCTTGAGCTTTCCGATCTTGTGCTTGAAGTGGATTGCCTCGACTTTGGCGTCGTGCAGCTTGGTATCTGTAGGGTATCATTTGCCTGTTCTGTCAGTGGAGCGAGAAGTCCTGACCTTTGAGCTTGTCCTTGAGCGCCTGCATTGTTCTGGCCGTCCACGCTAGTCCGCCTGACGGAGGAACAGCTTAGTTGCGATGGCGCGACCTAGCGCCGTGACTTGAGAGGGGGTCAACTAGGTGTACGAGGCACGTCGCCTGAGAAGCGAGCGGGTTTCTGGTCAACAGCACCGCCCAGCGGAAGGTTGGCTCGGAGAAGGGAGTGAGACGCGAAAGAGTGCAAGAATGATCTCTTCCTCAGCAGATATGAAGCCGGAACATACTTCGCATGGACACTCCACTTCCAGCACGCAACCTTCGAGTCGGCCTGTACGAGGACGAGGACTCGTAAACTCTGTCAGATGCCCGGCGCCCCGCCAACCCACCGCAGTTCAATCTAGCCAGTGCATACGTCATCGTTCGTCCCAGATTCAAATGCTAACCGGTTCTCTGTTCATGTATTGCGCAGAGACCAATGACAAGGGCGCCTACAATCCAGTACAAACTTTGAATCCGTCTTAGCCGTGTATTTCTGCAGGACAACCAACTGGTGCAACTCTCGCTAGTAGGTGCCAAGACGATGACGGCGCAGCATTGCATGTCTCTTTCTTGGAAAAGCTTGCTCTCAGGGACGGACCTGCAAGGCTGCCGAACTGGCACGAGGCTTCATCGCGGTCCAATCTCGATGCCAGCGTATTCGTAGGAGTACCTGCGGAAATCTGGTATGGTTCGACTCCTTCATGGAGTACAAGATAGCTCTGCCCAGCAGCTAGGAGTGTTGTTACATCCACCCAAAAGAACCATCGAACTCCCATACAACATCCCCTCGGTACCCAAGGCGTATCTCTTCAAAACTGGGGACTGTACCCGCCTCATAGTATTGCATTAGCTTGTCCATATCCTCCTCATCCATTGCATTGAAGTTTTCAGTCGTCCAACTGTCACAGACGTCACTCATCCAAGCCATTCTCTTGCTGATGTCGCGCGTGCGCTTGCCCGGTGCGACTTTCCGAAGTTTCCTCCTGAGCTGCCCGACTTTCTTAATGCTGTCGCCAGTGCCCGGCGGAAGCATGTCGCCGATCTGTCGTCGAATGGAGGCCGCCATCCTGGGTCCATTTCCATTCGTCGAGACCATGATTTGTAGAGGACCATCGCGATGGACGCTGCCGAAGTAGAAGTCGCATTCTGGAGGCACATCGGCGATGTTCGCAGGAATTTTCAGTTTCTTGCAGTATTTCCATATCCTCGTCGAGGCTTCGGGATCGTCGACAGCAGTAAGCACCATCGCGACATTTTTCTCGGGCTCGAGATCGAGAGGCAGAAAGATGCGGTCCACGTGCTTGACCTGCTTCTGCTCCACTCGATATGCCACCTCTTCATTTAGGCCGCTGCGCGGACACACCACCGTGACGTTGGCATCGGCGTTCAGTAGGTTGACGATTCGGCCGGCGGCGACCTGGACGTCGTGTGAGCTGCATGCCCTGTAGACACGCTGGGATGATAGAAACTTACTTCGCCACCACCGACCACGAGTACCTCCTTGCCCTTGATTTGCCATGCGAGAATCAAGGAGCCCCCACCCTGGATCTCTGGGAACTGAGGAGGCATGTTTGGCACATAATGATAAGTACATGAAATGCCATAGAGGCAAACCCACCGCGTCAAGGGACTGAAGTCAGAGACTGAAAATGACGACCACCGCTGGAATGCTACGCGATAAGCGAGTCGCCGCGCGGAGCGGCGATAGCAGTTGCGTCAAATCAAGTAATGCTTGGCCGTAGTCTCCTTACGTCTAGTTCACTTCCAGCTCAGACTCCCTTCACTGGCTCCTTGCCGCCAGAGCAACCAAAAAGTTCCACCCGCCTCATATCCGCGGCGTGATAGTGCTTGCCTCGTACGACCACCCACACATTTTTCAGAATGAAAGACTTAGACACAGGATTCAAAGACTGACCTATCCAAATCAATTCTTTGATTGTACGACCAGAGAGACCTGGCAATCTCATTTCTGCAGTTGATTCCAGATTTTTACTCTCAGACATCAAAATGAGAGGCGTCAAAGTCTTCTCAGGCAGATCCCATCCCACCCTTGTCGAGGCGATATGCGAGCGTCTAGGCTCTTCACCGGCCAAGTGCGACTTGGGCAACTTCGCAAATGGCGAAATCAGCGTCCAAATCGGCACTTCAATCAGGAACGAAGATGTCTTCATCGTTCAGAGTGGGAGCCCTCACATCAATGACAGTGTCATGGAAATGCTCATCATGGTAGCTGCATGTAAAGGAGGATCGGCCAAGTCCATCACCGCAGTCATGCCTTACTTTCCATACTCCCGGCAATCCAAGAAGAAGAGCCACCGAGGTGCCATCACGGCAAAGATGGTTGCGAATCTCATGGTGGTAGCCGGAGTGGACCACATTATCACGGTCGACCTTCATGCCTCGCAAATGCAGGGATTCTTTGGGAAGCCTGTCGACAACCTCTTTGCTGAACCAATCATTGCACGATGGATCAAAGGCAATGTGCCCTGCTGGAGAGATGCAGTGGTAGTGAGCAAAAATGTAGGCGGCACGAAACGAGTTACTTCCTTAGCCGATGCGCTCAAGCTGAGCTTCGCTCTTGTGTCCACCGACCGGGATCGTTCCAGACATCCACACCACCATAACAGCCTAGCAGACAGCACCGTGTTCTTTGATGCCATAGAGCCGCAGTCGATGCGCTATCGCGAGCGCCTGCTGGATGGAGACGATGGGCAGGATGCCGACAACGAGTCCGACAAGTCACACAGCCGAGAATTGTCTCACCGAGGCAAAACCCACGCAACTACGGGCAGCAATCGCCCTGGCCTTGGAAGGCCAAAAGCGGTGACCATTGCATCCAGCCCCCTTGTTCGGACAGCGAGGGTGGAGTCCACTTCCCCTCCCTCGTCGCCTGACCGCCTCTCCCGTATCGAAACCGCTCCCAACGCCCGCAGACCCTCTGAATACGAAGCCAGTGAAGCACACAATGATCAACGGGCACGCGATGTGCTTGTGGGCCGGATTGTCCAAGGTCACCTGGTGGACGACGACCATCCATCATCGGCCATGTCGAGCATGTCAGCCTCTCTTGCTAATCTTGCAGCAGACCGTCATCTGCAAGACGGGGTGGACAACCCTGTCAACGACCCAATGACCTCCTCCTTCATGTCGACTGCATCGTCTTTTCAGCCGGAACATGCCCTGGGCGGTAGCATGGATGCTGCTGCAACATCTGATGAGGAAGAGGAAGGGATCAAGAACCCTGATCTGGAACACACCATCACCCTAGTAGGCAATGTCACGGATAAGACGGTTCTCATGATGGACGACATCATTGATCGATCCGGTTCATGGATTGCCGCTGCAGAAACTTGCGTGAAGATCGGCCACGCAAAAAAGGTGTATTGCATCGCGATTCACGCTTTATTCGGCGAGGATTCTTTGGAAGAGCTGGAAGCATGCGACTGCATAGATTACATTGTTGTGACCAATACCTTTCCGATATCGCCTGAGCGCGTCCGTGCCTCGAAGAAGCTGATCATGATCGACCTCTCCAATCTGCTAGCTGAAGCAATCCGACGGAATCACCACGGTGGTAAGTACGACGCCATCATTTGGAGATGTCGAAGCTGACTCGAGCCAGAGGACATGTCGGCCCTCTTCGCTCATGCGTGAGACCCTGTTGATTGAGAGATTTGTCAAACCACGAGCTCTAGTCAACCCCTGTACCAGGCTTTGCATCCCACATGCAGAAGGATCACTTCGTACGTTTTGTCGACGGTCGCAAAGACCAAGGCTCCTACCTTACGATCACGAATGCCTACCAACCTGCACGACGCAACCACACGGGCGGAATTCGGTCCTTGCGAGCAAGGGACTGAGAAATATGTCCGTGTCCGACTTGCGCATACGCCTTGGTGCCACATCTCAGGAACAAGGGCCCTTGATTGGCGTCTCTCGAACGCTGACATGTCATGACGCGGTCCCGTGCCTGCTGAATGCAGGGAACTCGTACGTCTAGCCTTGTCACAACCAATCTCGGATTCCTTTGAGCTACTGTCAGTGCCAGCCGGTCGTGGCCCACCATCAAAGCAGGAGTGCGTGTTTCATTTTCGGATCTCCCAATCAATGCTGCGGCCATGGTAACACAAATCCGAAAAACACCCTGGATCTTCCATGAGTCCACAGGACACCACCAATGCCCTTTAATACTCCATAGTCTACCTCCTGCTTCGAGGGCGACTGCGGGTGATTTATGACAACGTCGACTCGAGATGTTTCTTTACATCCCACGCTAACTGTTGAGATCACAACCCGACCGAAGTGGATAAATTCCTTTATCACAGCGCTAATAGCGAATCCTCGCCTCGTATTCAAGGGCGCCGTCTTTGCCGGTCGAACCCCGAGGCCCCCCCACAACCTACCACTTTGTAGAGCGATTGAGCGATTCGAACCAGTCGGAATTCCTAGCGGTGTGAAGAAAATGCAGCCATGCGCAACATTCAGCTTGGTGCTCGCTAAATGCCACGCCTGCACGATCAATAGCTTGTGCGTCGAGATGGACGGCGCGCACCTATTTGACGAGGAGTCCCCGGGTCTCAAGGGTGGTTTTGCTTTTGACAAATTTTGACTCCAGTAGGGGCAGCACTAAAAGGACCCAGCCAAAGGGTCCGATCTTGGAATCTCTCGGTAAAAGATCGACGCTACCCTCGCCAACGGATCATCGGAATGCACTCGTAGCCTGGCATTTGCTAGGCCACCTATGGGCCTTCGGGTTTAGCGCCTGCAGCTTGTCTCGCCTCACGATGGCCCAGCTGGGTCCGCTCAGCTGCTTGCTCGTCCAAGAAGCGCTGCACCTTCGATGCAATTCGCGAGTGATGCGCCACACACGACCAGATCTTACCCGCTGTCATCTGGAAATTCTTAACTGTGCTCACGGAAATGCCAGCGGACGGAGTATCGAACGTTGGGATCGCACGGGTTTCGGTTGACGCCCCACCGGCATCCCGCCCTGAAACCGCTCCAGCTTACTCGGTACAATATCATCCCACGCGGCTACTCTTCGAGTGGGCGTTTACGAGAGACTTCTACGTACTTGGCCTTTCACGGCTACTCCTGTGCCTTGTGGAAAGGTCATTAAACTTATCCTAGATGCCAAAACGCTATTTTTGATCCAGCACCTCGGATTGTGCCGCGACACTGGATCTCTTCGGATCCCTGACCGCCTCGCGTCACTACTGGCATGCTCGAAGCGAAAACGAGTTGAGTTCGTCTTAGGCTGCGGGTGGAATCACTCCCGCTTCGCCATGGTGTGCTCGACTTTCCCTTCGCGTCACCAAGGGGAAGATACTTCCCGCTCACCTGGTCAATTACAGTCGATGGTGGCCGTGCACCAGTGGAAGCCAAGATCCGTTGTGGATGGCGATCAAACTGCTGAAGAAGTTATGTCAAGGATTTCGCACGGACAATGTCACCCCATGATATTCTCTCTCCTGTTGCTCATTCGACTCACAGCAGCCACAAATTCCCCCTTACCACTCTCTTGACCTGGTGACAGGAGTATCGGTGACTTCCCCGTTTGATGATGGAGTGACCGCCAAACACTTGTGTCAACCAGCCATGAATCCCATGGTTGTCGTTGAGCTCGTCGACAAACGAGAAGACTGCTATAAGTATTGGTGGATGGATGGGAGAGATCAGACTCTTGCGTATACTACCACAGCAAGTTTCCACCATCGTTCCCCCACCAACACCATAATCCATACGAATATCAGACTATATCTTGCGCAGCGAATCTAGCAAACGCGAATATGGGCAGACCCAGCACCGATGTAAGTCTGACATCTGGTCCCCCTTCGCCCAGCAGGATATGTCCGTTCCTCTTGGAACTCTATCGCTCACCTGTGCTCCTCACAATCATCTAGCCAGCCAATACCCGAATCTCCTTCCGCTATCGATATGACCAATGTCCGGGACATCAGTACGGGTTGATCGCGAACTCAAGCCATGGTCCGGACATTATATGGACATGTCAGAAATGCAGGGTGACGGTTGTCATCATCCATCAGTGCAAGCTGTGTGGGCACAATCTATGTTCGTCGTGCTTCAACTACAGCTCGCAACGCACTGGCGGTAATGCGACATCTGGGCGGAACCACCGTTGACGTTGCAGAGTGGTGGGCGATGCATGAATGAGTAGTCGCCAGGGTCTTCTTGTGCTGCTTCGGCATAGAGCTCTATCTATTCGTTGCTGGTAAGTCAAATTGGCGCAAGTCCCAAACCTAAAGGTGTGGCTAACATAGCTAGCACGACCTCACTTGTTCAGAAAGCTTTGCGAGGCAGCGCTCAAGCGAACGACGGTTCCACACTGCCGTGAACCAGCATCGATGATAACGGTAACGACGATAACGACACCGACAACGACAGCGAAACGGATCGAGAGCTCATGGACGATGCTGTTAGGCGTTGACACGGCGCTGTGGAAGGGTTTCTACAAGACTTGACTGTGGGAGGTACATTCTATTCAGCGAAATACGCAGACACTGGGGAACCAGCACCCGACGCCTCACGGCGGTAGCAACGGCGGTAGGCTCTGCTAGATTCTAGCTATGAGCTTTCTGGACATCAGACGCAGCAGCACAAGGCTCACTGTGTTCAACACTTCGGAATGTGGACGGCGAAAACGCATCTTCTGTTGCGAGACGTCGTTCTGTCGGGCTCCTGTTCTGCCAGGAACAACTACAACCTTTCTTTGTTCTCTTTCACACCCGCTTTTCCCGACGGCCAGACAGGTTACCAAACAAGTGTCCTGTATCTCCAGACTCGCTTTTCTCTTGGTCCTCTGCATACATTTCTTTGTCTCCACTTGTTCGCCTGGGATACCGTCCAGGGGATCCCCTATGTACCATTACACTATTGCGCATCCACAACCCTATTGTTGTTGCGTTGCATTTGGGTCCATATAGACCTCACCACGGCGGCTTCAACGCCCGTCACAGTACAGAAGTACAGCCTCTCTTGGCAAATCTTTCTGTCCCTGAAATGTCGATTGTACACAGTATTACGATAAATGCGTTGTTGGAGTCGTCGCTCATCGATATACATGCACCTACCTCGTACCCCGGACCTCATTGTCCACAGCCCAGGAGAAGACTTTATGTACTCATGCTCGTGAAGTGACTTGAGCTTGAGCTTGAACCATAGCGCCTTGCATTGCTGGTAGGACAGCTGTGGCCGACGCGATATGTACTCCTTCGGTACTACGGAGGATCTATTCCCTGTTCTTGAGAGGCACTGCTATTCCTACTCCTAGGTACTCTACCTAGTACCAGCATATGTAGGTACTGTACTAAACTGTGGACCTGGTTCACTCCGTGTCGGCGGCCTGCGTAGATGACGCTACATTAGTCATTTACCGGGAGAGAAGTCGACGCATTGGCCGTATTAGGAGGATCAGCGTCCTGGACTGTCTTGAATGTCCTTCCCCAGCTGGCTGGCTGGCTGGCTGGTAGCGTGCATGAGGATGAAGCGGGAGAACCGAGTCTTCGGTAACGACCCCGCCAATTTTTCTCTAAACTCTGTTGACGTTCTGTTGCAGGACCGGCACGTCACTGGACAGGACAGGAGAGGACAGGAGAGGACAGGAGAGGACAGGAGAGGACAGGAGAGGACAGGAGAGGGCAGGGCGCGGTTAATTGATTGGCCCAGGTCTCCGGAGGCCCCTCTACACAGTAGTCGTCCTCGTACGTGGTACGTGTATCCAGAACTTCGGACTCGGACTGTGTACCGTGTAGCTTGGCGACAGGGACAGGGACAGGGAAAGGGACACTCTGACGTCGTCGTCGTCGAAAAAGTCATACGTAGGTTAATCATGGCGCGTTAGGTGATTTTACCAACCCGGCCAGCCAGAGAGCCAGCCCGCTTTTCGTAACCTCCTACCTTTGTACGGTGTGCTCCTCCGTCTAACTGCTGCGCACGAGACAGACTCGCAGTATTCACCTAATCGCTCCGTACCACCTGTTATTTAGGTCTCTACCTCACCCGCCGGGTACTCGTACGTGAGTCGGAGGTCTCCTGTACGTTGGCGTCGCATCGTCTTGCCGGAATGAAGCCCAGATTGGGTTCGTTTTCCGCGGCCTCCACTTGACCATCCGGTTACGATACTTCTCGATGGGCAGCAAGGGGCCACCCGGGGCCAGCAGGCGTCGGTGTACGAGTATGCACTCCGTATGTGCCTTGCGAATCCGAGACGCCACTACGCTGCGAACCAGGGGAGGAAAGGATGAATGGCGACGGACTCATTATCTACTACGTACTCCGTTGGTAGGAAAGTCCGGATGTCTTGGAACGAGGGGTTTGAAATAGGTAATTAGCGTCTACATAAGAGGAACTTGATACGAGGTACAGCTATGGCGCCCCTGAGACACACCAACGAGGTGATGTTGAAAGGGCCTCAGGGCCCAACGTCGTGGTTGCGTCCGACAGCCTCGTTGCCACCACAGCAGTGGTCGGCCAACAGCTCCACCTTGGGGGGGAGGGGGTTCGACATGCAGCCTTCTTCTTTTGGGGGGCATCGGGGCTCGTCTTGCACACACAGAACGAGCGACTTTCGTGTCTCCTTTGCTGTAGCGGTTCCGCGGCCGCAGGAAGTGATGTGAGGTTGTTTCTCCTATCAGTGGTCGTACGACGACATGGTCGTGGTCGAAAAAGGGAGTGATCCTGGTCGTTTTGTGGAGGGATCGACGAGGAACTGTTCGTCCGATCGCGACCACCCTGGTCACTACCCTGGTCTCCACCCCCGCGGCCAATCGGAGATGCACCTCCTGGCGATCAAAGAACCACGGCGATCGAGGTTCGCACAACCCCTTCTGCCCCCGTGGCAAGGTGATGAGGCGAGGCGTGTTTGCGAGGCGGTAGGCTCCTACCGTGTAGCGGTCAGAGGGGCGTATGAGTACAGGGGTGCGTGCCTCACTCGTGATCAATCGTAACTGCAACGAGGATGAGGATCGCTATGAGTACTTGTACTGGATTGTGGAGCGCCGCTTCTGCAAAGCCGCCGCCCAGACGCATTTCCACTTCTCCAGCAAGTCGTGCCTCCAGAAATACCTCCGCAGGATCTCTTCGAGAGTTGCCCATTCTCCGAGGAGATGCGGCGCCTTCAAATCGTGTCTGGCCGTCGGTTCGAGCAGGTCCATCAGCAATTTATCGATGATGGGGGACAACAGAGGGTCCTGCTCGCATGCTTCAGCCGCGACCATCACAGTCCAAATATAGTGGTAGTGCTGGTCCGGAGTCGATTCCCGGGCTCCTCGTCGTGCCGCCAAAGAGCTGAGTTCCATCACCAGTTGGAGGTCTTCCTTACCAAAGGGGAACGAGGCGGAACGCAAACAGCTGACGACGATGCTCAAACAAACAATGGCCTCGGTGACGCGGGCCGACGATGCAAAGATCTTTCGAGAAAAGGTCATGATCATTGACGGACAGTAGATCTTTGGCCGCGACTTGACTTCCTCCGCGTCAAAGAACGCTTGCCGGCTGGCGCCGATGATCAGTCTGATAACTTCCCTGCTGAGTTGGAGGGAGAGAGCAAGCTCACGAAACCCTTCGGGGAGGTTCGCGATGTCGCTACAGAGATCCGGTGGGAACGGGTGGACCGGGTAATGCAAGGACGAAATATCGTGCTCACGGCCTAATGAGCAGTCACTGCCGAAGTCTTCGACCAGTTCTGGTTGCTTCGGTATTGCCAGCATCTCCGTTACAACATCGGCGCTGTGTTGTCTGTCAGTAGAGGTTGTGATAGGCCAGAGAACCCTACTTACTAGTCGAGCATTGCCAACAGAGGCGTATTGCCTACAAACGTCTTTGGGCCTCCTCGCATGTTGATCATCTCTCTCAGGCCACGGTAGTGGGCGATATACTCTGCCCGAGTGCCGTACTTGGTCTGCGGAATCTTCAGTCCATGTCGCGCAATATCTTCAAGAAGGGTCATTACCGCTATATCAGTGAGAAGCATGGTGGTGATCATTACGGCATCGTCAGGACCGGTCTCTAGCTCTTGGAGCTTGGTTCGCAAACACGCAATGCTGCGAGCACTGTGATACGCGATGGCTGGTGTGATGAACAGTTGGCCACTTCGAATCTCTTGGAACGCGAGCGCCATGGCCATCATTGCTTGAAACAGCTCCTCATGCTGCATGGCCAACCGCAACGTGGGTTCAAAAACATGCTCAATTTGATGACGGAGACGGACCGTTACAGGCTTGGGAAACATGCTGGTAAGGACTGCGTAATACGACAAGATCAGCCAGCCATTCAGTCAGTTGTCGCATAGACGAACCGTTGACGCACAGCACATACGGCGATGGAGCATTGTGGCATCAAAAGGCGGGTTCTTTGCTTGACATCCGTCAAACCCATCCAGTCCGAGATACTGGATGTCTGAAAACGGCCCAGCATCTACGACTTGTCTCGATGGCTGGGGATGATCGACCTTCTCTAGCCGCTTGTGTTTTTGTGTGGCGGCCTTTGGAGTCCATTCGAGCTCTGCGTGTCGCATGATGACGAAGCGAAGCTGAGGTCCATTCCCTGAGCGTTGCCCACTTTCACTCAGCGGAGTCACGATGACATGGTGCTTCCCTGATTGATCGGTAGCAATGCAACGGGTGGACAAACGATCCAGCGAATTGGTTGGGGTGTGGCATCTTGAAGTAGTCGCAGACATGGCTGACTGAATGGACCCAGCGCAAGTGAAGTATCACTGTCAATTTTCTCTGTGGGGACGGTCGTGCGTCGTTGGATCGGCAGATTCTGAGTCTCGAGGCTTCGGTGGCATCCAGCTAGCGACGGAGGCACGTCTGCGAGGGTTGGAGATGCGCTTGCTGCCTGCTGCCTGGGTCAAGGTCAATAGGATTGCGCCGACGCTGGTGCCGGGACCGTCGCGTTGGGTGACAGAAGCCTGCTGGTTGCTGGTGAAGGGCGTTGCAATGCGTATGGTCGGCGTACCGCTCATATGTAGAGGTAGTGGCGACGGTTTCTCAGTGTCGTTATCGTCGCCGGCTAGGATCGAGGGCGTGGGAATAGATATAAACCATGAAACACATTGATACAGATCGTCACCATGTGGGCGGTGCGCATGCCCTAGACTTCGCCTCGCTGCCCGTACGTAGCAGAGATTGAAGCTTTCTCGATACCAAGGATATCAGGGGTCATAAGATAGACAATATGCTCCATTGTTGACCCACTTGTCGCAAACTGGTAGGCAGTCGACATGGCATGAAGCATCTATGGCCCAGGGAGTAGCTCGATAGCTAAGGCCAGGCTCATTAGTCCCGTAATTTGGAATTCCTTCTCCCAAGCATGCCCTCTGTACGAGTAAAAGAGCATGATGGCGTGCACCAGGAAGTCTTGCTGCGCTACCAACGACAATCCACTCGTCCAAAGGGCTGAAGGATAGTCATGTCGCTGACGCCAAGTCAGCTAGGGAAAGATAGACCTTAGTCAAGCGAGGTCTTGGCCGCTCCTGAATTAACCGGCCGTAGAAGGGCCAGGTGACTGTCAACGATCGAAGGGCTCGGTACCCGTAACCGGTGTTGAACAACACTGTCGATGACCAGGAAGCATCAATGGTCGAGATTGGCGGCCTGGGGCTCAAGACTGACTTGAGGCTGTCAAGGCTGCGCCTCGATACTGATTCTGCCCCCACAGCCTACCTCGTATGCTGGTGTCGGCATATTGTGTAAGGTGATTGGGCTGATCAAACGACACGATTATAGCATGACCCGCTTAATCGCTGAGCGGGTCAAGCCATGATCGTACACGGTGTATACTTGCCAAAAAGAGCCTGTATAGCCAAGATGGTCTGTGGAACCAGTGGGGATCGGTCGATGTGGATTATTCATAAGCAGCCCCCAAACGTGCGGCTGCTGCAAGCAATACACTGGCTGACTCGGCCGTACCTATACAATCGCTATACAAGAAACCTACTGCTCGGACAGTTAACACCGGACATGGGTCACCCGACAGCATAAAGAGGCGTACACCGCTCCAGTAAGCCGCCCTTAAGAGAAGTCTCGGCCCTCCAGCACGGCGGGTGCAACCAGAGTCCAGCTGTAGATGGCGTAACACACCCATGCACTGATAATCTTGATCCAACTGGCCCAGTATGTCCGACCGACAGGTGTGAAGTCAGTCGAGCTCTCTGGGTCCATCTTCTGCGTCAACAGTGTTGCGACCCAGCAAGTGGCCATGAGGAAGATGACATGGAACAGCGTGTAGTTGTACTGGGTTCCTTGGCGCTCGTCGTCCTTGGAGCTGACCTCGGCCTCTTCCTCCTCGTCCGAATCCTCGTCCAGGGCCGAGGCCGGAAGTGCTCCACTCTCAATTGCTGCACGCATAATCTCGCGGCGTGAGGCTGGTTGCTGACTGACAAGACCATGTTCGTATTCATCTTGCGTGAGCTGAGCGTAGCTGTTCTTCTTGGTGCCGTTTCCCATGGCGAACCCTTGCGTTGCCGCGCGTGTGGTGGTGTAGGCGATGGTGAGCATCGTCACAATAGCACCAAGCACAACAGTGGTTGTGCGGGCGCCTCGGGCTCGAATCAGAGGATTGCAATGCTTGTCGTCAGGCTCCATTGCCACGGCAGAGAAAGTGAGGTACGTGCAGTAGACAGCGACCATGGCCGATTGGGCCAAGCCTGCCTTCGGATTGGCGTCCTGGATCGCGGGTTGCACACTGAGCAGCGTGATCGCGAAGAGGAGAATCAGGTTGATCGTGATGGCGGAGATGTTCATACTGCACCCACTGCTGGCGAAGAAGATGTACATGACAATGGTCATGGCAAAGGCGGCCAGATACATGCCCAAGCTTGACCCCATAAGCAAAACTTGCCATATGCGATAATTTGGGCCATCTCCTTCATCGATCTTGTCCTGGCACAGCTCTGCCCAGGTATGCGCAAGGTCGACCAGGAGGATAAGACCGAGGAGTACGAAGAGCATGGCTCCGAGGTAGGCGACATAATTTCCCCAGAAGAGAAAGAAGCCCTCGGGAATGAAGAAGGACAGGACGACAAAGGCAATCCAAGCCAGCAACTTCGGTCCCCAGAAGCCATTTTGTAAACCCGCCCGGGTATCTTTTGTGCTCCGCACGCCAATGAGGAGGATGGCGAGGATCAGGTGGAAGATGGCTAAGGCGAAGTTGATGCGCTGGACGGCGAAATAGCCGTAGCATTTGGAGGAGCCGCATTTGAAAGTCATATAATCTAGGGTGAGATGTTCCAGCTTTTTGATGGCCCACGGTGTGAGCATTATCCATGCAATAATGCTGTTGACTAGCAGGATCATGGCGTACGCTATTCTGGTGGCGATGGAGGATCGAAATTTGGACATGCCACAAGGGCCACACAGCATCGAGCACGACGCCGCACCACAGCATGAAGCTCCCACCGACCACAAGGTCGCAGCCGATGGGAGCAGCAGGGCTGGAATTGCGAGGACGCCGCCCATGTCGATGGCTGAGGAGAGGAGGGGTTCGTTGCGTAGGTCTCGTGCTCGCCGTCGTTTGTCGTCAGATGGAGTCGATGCCGCGCGCGCACAGCTGCTAGAGCCCGTCGGCCTCTATTCTCGGATTATGCTGTCTTGCAGGATACTGAGTTACTGAGTGGGGTGGTTGTTGATGGCAAGACAGGATCAGAAACGCAGGCGCAGGCCGACGCCTGTTTATCTCGGAATCTCGGCTGCGGCCAGTGACGACACCGGATCCCGATTGGCTGAAGCCAGGGTGAGCGGGTGGTGAGTGGGTGGTGAGGGTGAGCTGAGGGATTGTTGAATGTTTCGCGATCGGCTCAAATGCCGATATCCAACATCATCTCATCCACCCACTTCAATGGCCTCTCCCCGGCCGTTATCTTCTTCATATCCAACATGACGAGGTGACCATAGCGGTTTCCCACCGGACAGAGTCAAGATGCTCCTCATGCCTTCGGACCTCAAGAAGGCCCGCATCATAACCGTCGTCGCCTGTACCGTCACCTCACTGGCTTGTGGTTCCAACGTATGTCCGCGCGCTCACCTCGCTCGCTGCATGAGAACCGGGACTGACTGGGACATAGTATGGCTACTCGATATGGGGCCCCAGCTTTGCGGCCCGGCTCAAGCTGACCGCCACAGACAGCAACCTCATTGTATGCGACCTCCAATATAAGTGCAAGAGAAGGATGAGGTACTGATATACACATTAACGCAGGGCAATCTGGGGAATTTTGGCATGTACGCTTTTGGCATTCCCTCGGGCATGATGGTCGACGCGAAAGGGCCACGATGGGGTCTGACATTGGGCATCGTGCTGTTCGGTGCCGGCTACTATCCCATTGCCAAAGGTACCGTTCGATCGGGGATGATGGGGCCTCCCACTGACTGAATTCTAGCTTACGAGGCTGGACCCGGGCACTACAGCGTCCCGTTAATATGTCTGTTCTCCTTCCTCACCGGTGCCGGCAGCTGTTCAGCATTCACCGCCTCCATCAAGGCTGCCGCGCTTAACTATCCCGAGTCGAGAGGAACAGCGACAGCCTTTCCCCTGGCTGCGTTCGGTCTGAGTGCTCTGTTCTTTGCCGCACTTGCGCAAATACTCCCGGGCGGCACATACAACTTTCTCATTCTCCTCGCAACTGGCACCGTCTTGCTGCCCCTGCTCTCGTTCCCGTTTATACGCGTATTCCCACACCACACGTACCAGCATGTCCCTGAACATGAACACCAAGTCCTCCACCGGACCAGACCGTCAGGGAGCCGTCCATCCCCTCGATACGAAGAACCAGGTGCGCCCAAAACCCATTCCTCAAACGCCCGTGGGGATGACGAGTCCTTCTCCTCTGACCCGGAATCACACCATACTGGCGATGAAGGAGCATCGCTTCTCTCAAAAACCTCCACCCAGGAACAAGCTGCCGAAGACCTCGAAGCTTCAAAGCATCTCGAATCTGACAGAAATCACGAGCACCCGCATTTAGACGTTCGAGGCTTCGCCCTGCTCCCACACCCTGAGTTCTGGCAGTTATTCATCATGATGGGTCTGCTGACTGGTGTTGGATTGATGACCATCAAGTACGTGCAGGCTTCTCATTGCATTGAATCTTTCCCTTCTCGATCTGTAGAATCGCCCAATACTCCCCTCAAACCATGCGCTCAACAGCGACCTCTCATGACTAGTTACTAACGAGCCGCCTGTGTAGTAACATCGGCAACGACGCCCTCGCGCTTTGGAAACACGCCGACCCCACCACGCCCGCGTCCTTTATCGAAGCCCGCCAAGCGATGCACGTCTCGATCCTCTCGTTCTGCAGTTTCAGCGGCCGCCTCCTCTCGGGCATCGGCTCCGACATGCTCGTCTCGAAGCTGAACCGCTCGCGCTTCTGGTGCCTGTTCGCCTCGGCGCTGATTTTCTGCGTCACGCAGGTCGTCGCCACCAACGTGTCGGACCCGCACTACCTCGTCCTCGTGTCCAGCCTGACGGGTCTCGCCTACGGCATCCTTTTCGGCGTGTACCCGTCCCTTGTGGCCCACTGTTTCGGCGTCCACGGCCTGTCCCAGAACTGGGGCACCATGACCCTCGCGCCCGTCGTGTCCGGCAACGTGTTTAACCTGCTCTACGGCAAAATCTACGACGCCCACTCCGTCAAGAACGACCAGGAAGGACACATGGAATGTCTGCTGGGGAATCAATGCTACCGGTCGGCTTACTGGGTTACATTTGGCGCGGCCGTGCTCGGGGTGCTATGTTGTGGATGGAGCATCTGGCATGAAAACCAGGTGCACAAGGCTAAAGCCAAGGAAGAAAGAGGCGGGCACGAGAGAATTGCATGATGGGGTGCAATCTCGTGGTTCTCCCGAGCGTGCCGTTTTTACTTTTACCGGGAACGAACCGCCAGATGACGTTTCGAGGTTTTTTAAACCATCTTGGATTCAAGGGAGAATAGATCATGAGCATATAGAGGCGTCTCATCTTGAGCGATATCCAGAATTGACACCTATTCTTTTCAGATATCACTGTCGGTCATGGCCGTTGAGTGGCTACACTTTACGGGAAATCAAGCTCGCATGGGAGCGGCCCTCTCGCGAGGTTGCGGCAATAAGGAGCAAATCCGCTACTCCGTTGAATCCCTAATTGGGATGAATTGGAAAGTAACTTACACAGGGACTGCCCCCGTCCAGCTTCAACCCGCTCAGCTCCTCCGCCTGGCAGCGGAAGGTACAGTAAACACGCTCTTTGACTCGCCTTGGGCAGGATGAGGTGTTCAGTATTGTTTCTCGCACCACCACACGAATATTGGTCACGCTGCCTTTGGGATTGTCACGTCCGCTCCAAACCCACACGACTCGGACCGTTGTGTTGAAGGGAAAGGTGATCATATCAATAAACAGTAGGAGTAAGAGTTATCCAGCCCAACCCCGAATACCTAAGTCGCTGGGTCGGTTACTGTTCCCACTAAACGCCATCCCACGCCGCACTCCCGTCGATTATCTCGAAGACCTGGTGTTCCCGAACCGTGCACACCTGGTCCTGCTGGAAAACGCCAGTGTGTCTGCCCTGCACAATAGATGCCCCCCAGTTCGTGACGTTTTGAAGTGAGTGCGGTGCACTTTGTTCGTAGTGGTACATAGATCATACACTCCCAGAAACCCTCTAATGCTCCCGAACCACGGAATCGCGAGACACACCTGCTTCAAACCTTCTCCGGTTCAGCAGCCATCCTCGCCACCCCTGCGGCTGCAGAAGCCTCCGCATCAGCTACAGCAGAGCCCCGGACCGGCGGACTGGTGGCCAGATTTGATGGAGTGGCGGGAGTATTCCTGGGTGAGGCACTCAAATCACTAATCTGCCGCTCCAGTTCCCGTATCCGCATCCTGAGCATCTGATTCTCACGGGTCAGGTTTGCGGTTTCGGCTTGGTAGTAGGCGGTCTCGTCGCGGAAACTGTTCCTGCGGGCGGTGCTGACACTCTCCACGGGTGAGGGAGGCCAGTCGGTGCTAACAGCGGTGCTGATGCTGGACTCCTGGCCCAGCATCGGCCGCAAGGCTGGCGAGCGACTGGCGCTTGAAGGGCCGCGGGAGATGCGTCGGGTCAGTGGTGGGACGGCTGGGACGGCGGGATGGATGGAAGGGAAAGACGGCGAGCGTTCGGAGGCAGGAGTCTCGTCGTCCACGACGGCCGTATTGTTCCCTGGCAAAGCGGAGTTTGGTTGTGACGAATGACGCGAGTGAGTGCCATTCGGACCTTGACTGCTTCGAAGAGCCTCAAGTTGAAGCTGTTGTTCTCGGATCATCTGTAGCATGCGGTTCACCTGTGCTTCCTGCTCTTGTTCCAGCTCATTGTGGATTTCACCAAGACTCGGCTGGCGTTGGTGGTGGGGGTCGCCGGTCGCGATGGCTGATCGTCCGCCGATAGTGGGAGGGCTCGCTAAGGCATAGCTGTGGCCAAACCCAGTCCGGGAGTCGCTGCTTGATAACTCGCCCGGACTCGGAATGGTAGGGTCGTTCAGGCTGATGTTCATGGCGACCTGTGAACGGCGGCGATCGGACGGCATGCGGCCCAGCCGAGGCGAGCCTCTGTTGCTCAGCGAAGAGCGCCGTGATTCATTCGCCGCATTTGTGACAGCGGCGGCCGCAAGGGATATGGATGAGCTCCGCGGCGAAGGAGTCTGGTTGCGGTTTGGTGGGAGGTTTGCGGTCTGCATCGAGCGGGGTTGCATGGGAGACGAAGAAGTTGATCTCGATGGAGGGAGGGAGTTTAGGTCTGGCGGAGCCATCATATGAAATAAAAGGACTCAAAAAGCGGCAAAGAGCAGGAACTATATTTACTTCGCACGATATGATGGTGCGATTGGTCAGGCCACAGGCAAATATGGATGGGTACGGATATGCAGGAACGACAAGTTGAGTCTGAGGGCGAGGCAGAAGTCAGGCATGACCACTGGCAGCTGACCAGCAAACAAAGTCACGGTGCTTGGCGAGACGCAGCCTGAAGGGAGGACGATGAATCAACATGTGAGAGGGATTATCCAGTGTCACATCGTGTTCGTGTCTTCCACAGCAGCTCGAGGTGATGGATCGTAGAGTCGGCTTGAGAGACGACTCCAGAGTAAGCGTTGGCGGAGGCAAGGCTGCGTCATTCGGCTCCTCACTGAATACAGTACATTGTACGAGTACGGAGTACAGAGTACTATGCAGCGGAACGAGTCAGACATGGAACCGTTTCAGTGAGGGCATTTCTCAAACGATGTGCCTACGAGTATTCAATAAGGTCCTCCGTATTCTTACGGCTCTTCGTACGGAGTACATACCTTAGCTAGGAGTGCTATGGTGAAGGGCACCTACTGTACTTGCTACGAGGAGTTGTCAGGCATTCCTCACTACGTCATCAGGCGGCTGCGTGACTTGCATCTCGAAAGCTTCAAGCTTCACCGTGATCCTGGTGCATCGCCGTGATCGCGTCTACACAGTCCTGGGCACGGGCTCACTCGAGCCTCACTTCTTGTTCCATTCCAAGTCTAACCGGCTACAGGACAGCTCACACCCATCTCTTCTCAATCTGTACACGGCCAATCACGTTCCATAGCCTCCCCAGTTGGTGACCGTGGTGACGAGCTAAGGCCAAATTGGGGGACGTTGTTTACATACACGCTTGGGCTAGGCTTCCTTGGGCGAGCTGTTAGGGACGCCCGGCAGCCGCTCCCCCAGCCACTGGCATTTATCTCCCCGATCTGCCTAGGTGTCCATCCCAGCCTCCTCCCACCACCACCCGCCCTTCAGCTTGAACAGTTACAGGTTCCCGTGATATCAGCATCGCATCCGTTCCGTCCTCGCAACAAGACACTGTTCCACCCATCTACACGCACGTCGCGGCGACGCACCACTTCTGCCACCATGTCCGGTCTTCCATATCTCCAGAAACTTCGCAAAAGCGACCTCACTGAATTCGCTGAAACGACCAAGTTGGCCGAGTATGTACCGCCCTCACCGACCCGCGGACGCGTTCATTCTGTGTCGCATTGTGTCGCGCATTGTTGCTGACTTGTATGCGACCACAGCTATGCACACCTGAAGAAAGCCGAGCTCGAAGTCGCTCTCGACGAGCACCTGCGCGCCAATTCAACCACATATAACAAAGATCCTTCATTGAGCGAATACTACAAGCGCTTGGGCGGCAGCTCACGATCGCCCACGAAGAAGACCATCGCTGAGAAGGTCACCGAGACTCTGAAATCCGACGACGATGCGCCGGCTCCGGTGAAGAAACCGAGGCGCAAGACAACTACTTCGCCAAACGACATACGCGACTCGACGTACGTATCGCGCCTGGGTTGCATTCCAGGAGCAAATAGCTGACATGTCGAAGCAGAGAAGAGGAGCCGCTGGTGAGTGCTCTCGTCAAGACTCCAGCCAAAGAAGTTGCTCGTCGCACCTCCATCCTCGCGTCTCAAATACCCATCCCACCTTCGCCCGCTGTGGTCACCGACGTAATCGATCAACAGGCGCGTCGCATCAGGACATCCATCTCAGATGCCTATGACCGAACGCAGATCCACAAGGCCGCCGATGCGTCGCGGGAGCTCCTTTCTTCGCCTTTGACGGTCACAGTGCTCGCCATCCTGCTGGAAGCATATGGCCTGCGGGCTCAGATCCTTCCCAACAAGCTGCTCACTCAGATCCCCGCCGTACCGTACGTGAAGTCGACGCCAACGCCGATCCTGGTTCCGGATCTATTTCTTCTCCTGGAGTCCAAGTTCTGGGCGCCCTTCTCCCTGTGGTCTCTCACGTCGCTCATCTTACCGGCGATCATCTCGTACTTTATCAACCTGCCGCTGAAAGCGCACCCCAGCCATAGCTACTCCACGCGCCAGGCCGCTCTGCAAGCCAACACGCAGATGCAATTTGACCCATTCATCTTCAGTCTGGCGAAGGGGCTGATTGCATACCTGGTGTACGCGAACCATCTTGCCCTGGGCGGGTTGTACACGCACTTCACCGTCGCAACTGTCAACGAGAGTATTTTGGGCGGATGGTTCGCCATTGTGATTGGCTCCGGGCTGAGCGCCGCTGTGAGCTTGTATGAGGCTGTGCTGGTGAAGAAGCATTAATTGAGGGCCGGAAAGTGACGTCGGCACGAATGGCGAGACTTGCTGCGGGAAAGCAGGTCAGAGGCCAGAGGGATTTGCACATGTACAGTGCTTGCTTTGGGTGGTTGGAAACATTGGGAAACAGGATGGATGAAATGAGTTACGATTATCTTGGGTCGATCATCGGAGGCGTTTTGAGACTCGAGCCGGCAGTGGTCCATGACTTTGGTCGACTCGACTCGCCTTTTATACCCATGGGTTCTCAGTCGCTGCGCGTCTGGCGCAGGTCTATGCGGGTCGGTTTATGTGCTCGTTCAGATACCATTACACACAGTCACTTTTGTCCTTGTTCAGACACCAATAACATGGCCGGAAATTGTGAGGCTTTCATTCCATGTGCGCCTCCGTGGTATCAGGAAGGTGTTGTGATCGCACGTGGTGACACGGTTATGGACTGCGTATACCGACTGTTCTATGAAGTAACCCATCGTTGTCCGGTAAAGGGCGCGTCTCTCACAGAGGCAATTATCAACACGGAGGGCACATTCCTGCAATTGCGGTATCTCTCTCATGCCAATACTGACTTGATCACTATCACCATCATGCGTTACCGCATGTAATCATGTATGTATGACCGGACATTCTTCCTCCAGAAACTGTATTCCCCCCTGCAGTGCGGAAGCGAACAACAACCAGTCATATTCATGCCCGAGACCGCGTCTGTCCTCGTGTTTAATGGATCATGATTTCAATCAAGGGACATCGTATCTCGACCCTGGAGGCCCTTATCCTCTTGCATTGGTCATGCGATGTTGCCGGTCATGGATCTTGCCGTAGTGTATCGGAGTACCAGAGTATCAGGAGCCCAACTGTAATGTGAGGATAATCAAGTTGGTCTAACGTACCTACTAGGTACTGTACATTGTACCGACTTGGGGACAACGCGTCAGTCACATCGGACGCTGAACACCTTCATAGTGAAATCGTCCGTCCATCGACGCTCCCTCGAAGGATAAGTCCAGGATGAATCCGTGGATCACCGGCGGCTCAAGTTGACTCATAGAAAGATCAAGAACTTGATCCTGGGCAAGACGCTTACCACGCTTTCACTTCCACTTTACACATACGGGGTACCTATGTATACTCGCAGTGTCTAGACACGTGAGTTGATACGATTTAGTGGTCTCGTGGCGTACTATATTCATTAGCGCATCCTTCTCCCTGCGTGATTGGTTGACCGACCGATCACTCAGTCTCTCGGATCTCAGATTCTCATTGCAAAGGCACATCTTGGGCCTGCTCAATGTTTCTTCACTCTGCACAGTATATGTAGATACGTTCTATCTGATGCGCATGTCTCAACCGATACATAGCGCCGCCCTCACTGTGACGGTCATGCCAATCCGTGCCATCTGACTAACATCCACACCGACACTGTCGGACCCGACCGCAGTCCTGGGAGACCGGCATGAGTGAGATGTACGTGTGCGAAAATGCCAGCTCCCGACAACATCTACGAGGATGACGTAGACTTCACGACCTTGGCACTCCAGTATCCCGACTTTGCGAAGAGGTATGTTCTCTAGCTTTCTGTTCCCGGAAGCGGGTAATTATGGGAGTGGCGGTGTTGAAGCGTTTTCCTTCCTCCCCCGTTGTGGGAGAAGATGTATGTCATAGGGATGGTATGTAAAAGGTCGCGTCGTGTTGGAGGCCCACATACACAAGACAGAGGGCATGAAGGGAAGACGATGGAAGCAAAAGGATCGATGTTTAGCCAACCACACCCTAGCACACGCGGCATCATCGACCACGACAAACATAAACTAACTGCCTCCCGCGTGCGGACGGACGACAGGCTCAAACCGAATCGCCAACTCGACTTTTCCGACCCGGAAAGCGTCAGACAGCTGACCAAATGTCTCCTCCACCGGGACTTCAACCTCACCATCGACGTGCCGGACGATAGACTGTGTCCGCCGGTGCCCAACCGGTTCAACTACATCCTGTTCATCCAACGTCTCCTGGACGACACGTCGCCCGATTTTCACCAGGGATATGATCGGGAAAGACAAGTCCTCGGCCTCGACATGTAAGTCTGCTGTTGCCACTCGGTGGGGCAGTCTCTATTGGATTGCCCACCTCATCACATCGCATCCCGTATCATCTTGACTATGCCACACTAAACCATGACTAACTCCCTGCCGAGTACAGTGGAACAGGCTCCTCCGCGATCTACCCGCTCTTGGCCTGCGCTCAACGGCCGCGCTGGCGCTTCCTGTGCACGGAAATCGACGACAAAAACCGGCAATACGCCCAGCGCAACATCTCGGCGAACAATCTCGGCTCCCGAATCCGCATGATCGACACGGACAGAACAGGCGGGAAGCTCATCCCAGCGGCTCAACTCGAGCATTTCGACCGAGTCGACGTCCTGGTGACGAACCCGCCCTTCTACTCGTCAGAGGCGGAACTTCTCGGGTCGGCAGGCCAGAAATCCCGGCCACCGAATTCGAGTTGCACGGGCGCCGCGGTCGAGATGATCACGCCGGGAGGGGAAGTGTCGTTCGTGGGAAAACTCATCCGCGAGTCGGCCCACGCGGAGATGAGACGCAAAGTCCAGTGGTTCTCCGCCATGCTCGGCAAGTTGAGCAGCGTGGGCACCATCGTCACGCAGTTGAGGAACCAGGGATGTACGAATTTTGCCGTCACCGAGTTCGTCCAGGGCCAGAAGACGCGACGGTGGTGTGTGGCCTGGAGTTGGATGGGCTTCAGGCCGGGAGGTCATGTCGCGAGAGGTGTGCGCGGCGGGAGTGGAGTCGAGAAGAAGTGGTTGCCGCCGCTGACCGAGATGGAATTTGACTGTGAAGTCGAAGACGAAGCCGAGGACAGAGATGAAAATGGAGATGAAAATGGAGATGGAAATGGAGACAGACTAGGGACCGCCAGAGCCGTGGCCGAAAAAGTGACTCGCGAGATTAGAAAGCTCGATGGCGTGGCGTGGAAGTTCGACGCCGCAACAGGGGTAGGCATGTTCATGGCCCGGGAAGGCGACGTGTGGAGTCGAAAAGCGAGGAGGAAGGCGATTCAGGTGCAGGACGCTGATGCGAGTGGACGACGTCGAGGTTGCGAGGTCGACAAGAACCGAGACGCTCAGAGGAATAGAGGTCGTGCACCGGACGGACTTGAAGACACGGTAATGGAGGATAGAGAGGAGTCTGAGGACGACGACGACGAATCCGAACAAGAAACCGAGCCCGAGCCTGAGCCGGCTCTCGTGGCGAGAATCTCGATCAGGACGTCTCCTCTTCCTCTTCCTCCTGCTGACACACGCACACGGTCCAAGCGAACGATCCATATCCGCCATTTGCAAGGCCATGACGCGGTGCTCTTTGAGAGTTTCTGCGGGTGGTTGAAGAGAAAGGTCGTCCCGCCGTCGAGGTGATTTGCAGGGGCGAGGAAGAGGCAAGCATCATACATGAAAATCCTGATGACTACAATAATGAATGCATGAAGAATGTCTCCGGGGATTTCATGTTCGAAAGCGTCATTGCGCCTGTCTGGACGGGTGGTATGAGTTTACATGGGTCCAGAGGCTTTCTTGCTTGCTTGCTTGCGGTGTACCACGGAAAGGAGCTAGAGCAACTCCCTTCAACAACAACGTTGGAGTGCTCCTTTACTTATATCGAGCCTATCCTACTACTAACTCGACTGCCCCTCCTCCCACCGTGACTCGGGAGCTCAAATCCGCGACTCGCGTTACTCGGACTCGTCGGCGTGGCACTCACACTCCCGTTCCTCCTGTCCCGCTCTGTCGCGGAACTGATACTCCGGGCCCTCCCCCTGCCGACCCACTCTGGCATATTGAACTTGAGCTCACCGACCCGGCGGAAGAGACCCCAAAGCGCACTTCGGAGGTCCGAGCCCATGTCCTTCTCGAGCAGGCCGACGGCAAGGGGATAAAAGGTTTCAATGTGCTGATCAAAGGACTCGCGTGGGAAGTTGGTGTACCCCTCGAGGACGTCGATGACGACGGGTCGCCAGGCGACGATGTTGCGTTGTTGCGTTTCTTCGTCAAGGAGGATGAAGGAGCGGATGATGTCGGCGCAGAGACTATTTTGGCCACAGGTTAGCGTTCGGAGCCGTGGCATGGTCCGAAATGTTCCTAGGTGTGACTTACGGTATCAGAGCACCCTCCGTCTGGTCGCGACTCGACCTTCTCTCTTCGCCTTCATCGTGGTACATCCTCAACAAGATACTCACGTATGTGTTTGCTGAACCAGACTCTTGCTTGAGCAGGTTTGGAGGTTGACGCATGAATCCTTGTCGCCAAAGGGCCATACGTAGGTCCTTGTCGCCATTGAACTTCTTGGCGAATTGGTATGACTTCTTCAGCAACGCCATCAGCCGTAGTAGTTCGGGCGAGGGTATCTGTGCATAGACGGAGTCGTTCGAGAAGAGCTCTGCGACTGTCTCAATCATGAGGAGTTGAAGAACGCAGTTCGTGATGATCTTGTTGAAGAAGCGGCGCCTGGCGGCCGTCACAACCGGCGCGGGTGCTTGCATATCTTGATGAGGGCGGTAGTCTTCTAGCACTTGTGTCGTGTCGGCCTGGGGAATCTCCGGAGTCGGTGCCGAAGATACTTGGGATTCTGTGGAAGAGTTCGGCCCGTGGAAAGATGCAGGTGCGCCGTTCGTTGTCGGCGTCTCAACGATTGTGGTGCCTGAGATAGAGAGTCCTTCGGCACCGTCTTGTGCCGGAGTTGGTCGAGCATCCGACATGGTGGCCGCGGCGGAGAACAACTCATAGGCGGTCGTCCTATTGAACAGCTCCACAAACGCAGTGACAATTCTCGACCAATGTTCTGGGGAGAACTTGGTGACGTTCTGAAGGATGAGCTGCTGGAGACAGTTGCTGCCAATCCGGGCTATCGTGTCGTTCTCTTGACATATACACAAGGTGAGGAGATCTAGGAACCGGTCCAACATATGCTCCAGTGAGTCAAAGTAATGCGTGAAAAGAGTGATCATGTTTCTGAGCGCCTGGATCATGGTCGTCGACAGCCAGACCGACAGCTCTTCGTGGTTAGGGGCTTTCGACATCTCCGATTTGCTTTGCAGCACGACAAAGATCGGGTACAGCAATTGCCGCCAGAGCGTGTCCCAAAATTCTATCGGGAAGTCACCGCCATATCTGATCAACGTCTCGAAAAGATAGGTCAGCGCCCTTGACCGTACTTCAAGGTCGTCTCCGGTCATCAGCACATCTTGGTACGCAATGAGGACCGGATACCAGAACTGCTCCTCCTCGGTCTGCGAGGTCGGCTGCTTCACTCCTGCAACCACGTCGGACGCTTCGGATTGCGATACTCTTCCATGGCGTCTCGATAGAGGGCACTCCGGAGTCTTCAGCATTTTTGGGACAGTCGATTTGAGCAATTCGATGGCCTGGAGCGATTTCTTCTGGAACTTCAGGTTTTTGGAGAATTCGGTAAGACAGACGATCAGGTCTGGGAACGAGCCCTGAGAGATAACAACGCCAAATCGTGTGTTGTAGATCTGGGTCGTATAGTCGAATGCAATGTTGACGATTGCTTCGTACTGTTCTCTGGCGGCAACGGAGAAGACGCCGAACATGGTCTTCCAGCCCGATCTGATGTTGTCTCCGCGAGCCTGAATCATCTGAATCAAGCATCTCAGGACCATGTCTTTGACAGTAACCACGGTGCTGTTTGACATGACATATTCGAATGGCTTCAAGAAGTCTTTCTGGAATTTGAAGCCGGGTAGCTCTTCAATTTCCATGAACCGCATAGAAAGCTGGCGAAGCGAGTCGAGGGCGAAAAATACCACGGCAGTGTTGTTGTGACAGCCGACCTGGTTGAAGTGTTCGCCGAGAACCTCCCAGATTCGCGTCCACTCTATTCTGACTCTGGTCATGTTGTAGTAGCTGATCTCAACCAGCTTTTGAAGACTATACATCCTTGGCGATTCGGTGTTGCCAGAGGACTGAATCTCTTGCCAACTGACATCGGTCAATGCCTGGACAAAATCGACAATCGCCTCAGATGATAACTTCGCAGTGTTGGTGAAGATACGATCTACGCCGCGAACCATGTCCGTCGACTTGGTCTCGTCCGCGACCTCTGGCCGGAAGCTGTGTGCGGACCGAGGTCTTGGTCGCTTGACCGCCTGCATTGATCGTCGGCTCCTGCTGTTTTCCTTTGTGGAGCTGGACGGTGTATGGACACTCGCCCGTGTCACGTCTGGCAGAACACCTTCGTCAACACCCGTCGAAAGGAGTTGCAACCTGTCAAGTTGACTGATGCACATCAGAACCTCGCGCCATGAGCTTTTCAATACTTCGCCCTCGGTCAACGCAACCTCGATGAGCACTTTTAGCGCCTCCAAGTTCTTGGCCATCATCTCTTTAAGGTTTCCGAGGTTGGTGAATTTAGCAAGAGCTGTCAAAAAGGCCACTCTAGGTGTCTCCAAGTCGAACCGGCAGGATAACCTGATTGCCAATCTGAGGCCCTCCAAGCACTGCCGGATTAGGTCGAGATTTTGTGCATCTTGCATTTGGCTGGAGAAGGCCGAGAGAAAAGACATCCAAGTTGTATTGAACATCGGTCCAACGTGCTTGCTCGAGGTTGCCGGGATGAATCGCGAAAGAGCCTCTCGGACTGCCGAACGCTTTTGCGCTCTGATCAGACTCCGGTATAGTTGTTCAGTCTTGTTCGCCATTTCTTCTGAAGCCTGAGTGTATTTCTCTTTCTGCAGATCTCTGCCTACGTTGGCCAGGGCCTGGCCAGCTCGCGACGCAAAACCGACAGCCGGAGTGGCAGTTGCAATACCCAACTCCGCGGCGTGCTCCCGCTCGGATGCGAGAACAATCTCGTTATGAGAGATTTCATCGAAGATGCTACTCAAATACTCCGCGGGCAGATCCTGGCCGTCGTTGATACCACGGTTGTTCTTGATGAAATCCTCGACAGTCATCCTGGGTCCTTTTAGCTTGGAGCTGTGTTGATCGGTGTTCAGCATGATGACCGAATACGCAAGTACGTAAGCAGTATCGGCATTTGCAAAGGCGTTTGGATTGCCGCTGAGATATCGTTCCGCGAACTTGAGCATGAATCGATCAATCTTCTGCGCCTCTCCTGGAAGTCTGAAGCTCTGCAAAAACTGCCTCAAAGCATCCACGAAGCGGCGCTTTGTGAAGTCCATCAAGTCGACAAATGCGTGCATTATGGCCACGTTCTGCTCGTCGCCTTCTCCAAGGTATTCTCCCAGCATTGCTTTGTCTAGTCTGTCATTCGACGCCAGAAACTTTGCAATGTCTTGTGGCGTGTTGCTGCGAATAAAGCCCTCGGCCAAGAGAGCCTTTATGCCACGTTTTGGCTTGAAGTTGAATTGTCGGATTGCTTCATTCATCGCAGACTTCCGCATTCTGACTTTCTCGACTTCACTGGGATCATCTTCGGCCACGGGAGTTGAAACGCCTGACTCACTGCCAAAGCGAGACACACGGGGCGATGCGGGAGGCTTCTCGCTGTAATCCAGAGATTCTCTCGAGTCCTCATACGATCCCCTCGAAGCCGGGTAGCGAGATCCGGATCCGTTAACTTGTTCTTGACTTCCTTGGCTTGACCAGTTGTCGAGCGAATGTAGAATTTCCACAAGACACCTTAGTGATTGCTGCTTCAGGGCATACTCGACAGGTACCGCTGGCGGAGGGGGAGGAGGCTGGCCGAGACTCGCTGTTGATAAGCCAGGGAGCAACGCGCCTCTGGAGTGCCACTCGGAAACCGGCGTCGACGGCTTTCCCTGCTGTTCTTGGTACTGATGTTGCTGGATGGCTGTGACCACTACAGGCGTGCTACAAATGCGTGAGAGGTGCTCGATGATTTGCTGATACATATTGTCCAGGGCGGTTCGGTCGCAGTCATAGTTCAGGTAGATCTCGACCAAAGCACGTGGATCGCCAGATAGTCTTTCCAGGACATCCATAAACATCTGCTTTTGAAACAGGGGAGCACTCCGTCGCTCGAGAACTGCGAGATAGACTTCTTTCAGAAAAACTTCGAGCTCCTTTTTTAACAGAACGCGCAAATGCTTCAGCGAGAGCCAAAACAGCTCGCAGCAAACCTCATAGACTCGCGGCACTGAACTGGCGGCATTACGGGACAAACTCAGGCATAAGTGAGGTTTGGCCACATGGAGGAATGGCGTAGGCTCTGTATTATTGCCGCTTTTTATGGTGGAGAATGAGGATGTGAAGACAGCCGTGTAGTTGTTGATGACATGGTATATCAGATGGAGGGATAGTAGCTTGGAACGCATGTTCTGAGATCGGAGGTCCTGTTGTTGATCGTACGTCAGGACTTTCTGACTTAATTTGCAGAGTGAACGGAACACTAAGAATGCGTCCTTGATGTAGACATCGTCTTCGTCCTCTGGAGACATTTCTGGCTCCTCGCGGTCTTCTTGTAAGCTCGATCGAGAGACGGGCCCGGAGCTAGTGCGGGTGTTCTTGCGTTCTCGTCTTGCACGGGTGACGGTCGTGGGAGCGCTATCGGCTACAATCGCGTCGTCCAAGGTTTTGTTGTTTTCGAAGCTCTGCAACGTTAATTTCTCCTGACCGGCAGCCGAGCCTTCCATGAGCTGGGGTGGAGTTTCTTGGTCCGGAGTGTCGACCTGTCCATTCGCGCCGTTCGCATCCCCCGGGCCGAACATGGACGTGTCCGCGGAAAGGGCTTCGTCAGACTTAGCCTCGTTGGTCTCTCTCAGACGAGCCTCTTTCAAGTCCAGCCTGAGTCTGACGCGCTCAAAAACGGTCGCGATCATCTGAAGTAATGATCCCTGCGCGACTTGCTGATTCTGGCTCGACTTGGAGTAGATGAAGATGTTGTATATTTGCCGGACCGCTTTCAAGAGACCGGCACCATGGACGACGATCTTGTCGTCGAGGACGGCTGCAAGCAGGGACTTGATGATCTGTTGTTGAATTTCCGGGGCAGTGGCTTCATTCTCGAAGCAATCACAGATGGCCTCGATCGCCCTCTCGATAAGAGGCGGAGTATCTGCTGAGCCGGCTTGACTTGCGGCCACGACGGGGAAGGCGAAATAGGAGTAACTGATCAGCTTTCCAATGCAGTCTAGAGCAGTCACCTGCAGAGGTATATTGAATGACTTCGTCGCCATCTGCAACGGCCGGAAGATGACCTCGGGATTAACTGGCTGTTCCGTGTTCTTGATGTTTGCCAGAGCGGCCTGAACAGCATCTGTGAACTCTTTACTCTTGCGGACCTCCTTGGCTGCTCCAATGGTTTCAAGGGCACTGACCACGAAGACCGTGGAGCTGACGGGAAGAGGCCGTGGGGTCGTCGTGGGCTTTGGTATTGAAGCCTCCGGGCGAGGTTCCGCTTGTGTGTCAGTGTGCGTGGCCTGCTGGGCTTGTCCGTCCTGGTGCTGAGCCGAGCCAGCGTCGTGTGCTCTCCGGTCCTCGTCCGCAGCATGTCTGGGCGCATGCTCGACATCTGGAGATCGCGGAGCGTCCCCTGCCCCTTCTTGGGACCTCGAGCCTTGTTCAGAGTCCTGCTGCGATTCTGTCACTACCGAGGCAGTATCTTCAGAGGCGGCCTCGCCCGAGTCGTCCTCCTGCCGTGCATCTTCAGCATCGGCGTCCTCGACAGTGATGGTTACGCCGTGACTCGGTGGACTATCCTGATCATCATCCTCGGAGGCTGCATGTACACCCGCAGGTTCCCCGACATCCGCCTCTTTCTCCGATGCAAGTGCTGGCTTTTCGACGTGGTCCGTATGCTCGGTTTGCGGCGGCTCATTCTCGACTCCAGACATTAGGGCGCGCAGGAATGATGATTACCGGAGAGATCGAGCGCTGGGGATCACCTAGAACCGTAAGGGGATCCTGGAAACATTGCAATGGTAAGCCTGCTCAGTCTGTGTTGTTGCCGTTCTGAGATTGTGACTAAAGTGCACTGCACAGTGCTCCGGTTCGTGGTTCAGGGAAATATGCTGTGCCTGTGTATATCTGTACAAAGTGACGGCTGCGCGGAGAGCCTGAGAGCCCGTGTCTTTTGTGGACCAAAGAGACCGTAGGCGCTGCTTCGGGCGGACATTTGACATCTAGGTGAAGGCAAGCGCGGATCAGCTAGTTACTAAGCTCCAGCTGTGCTCTTTTTCGGGCGGCCTTTGGGGGCCGGCGATTGGAGCATCGGAGCTTGTTGCTCGCGGTGATTCTCCCTGGCCTGCCATCACTTCGGATTCCGGGTGGAGTCGACCGTGCTCAACATACATTTTCGACAAGCTGGTGCCCTTCAACAATTCACCTCACGCAAGCTCATTGCGAAGGACGACTTCTCCCATTAGGGCGCCCTTCCTGTCTCTCTTCCTCCACGTCGCTCCTTTACTCTGATCGTCTCCTGGGGTTGGGTTTCTTACTCCCCTTTTCCGCCGCTTCTGGTCCTCCTAATGGCAACCTCAACGCTGCTCTCCCGGTCGGGGTCACGCCTCCTTCTCCAGTCTTCCACAAACCTGAGGCTCAGCAGAAGCCCGGTGCAAAGACTACAAAATGTAGCAGTGTATAGTTCACATTGGCCCGGGCACGCATGCCGAAGCTAACACGCGCATTTAGATCTCAGACCTTCCCCTGCTTATCCGTGCTCGGGCGCTACTATGCATCCAAATGTGCGCTTTTGATCCGCATTCATTCGTGAAGAGCGGACGCGGCTGACCGCAATCACAGCATTTCCCCCTCATACCGTCATCAGCATGCCTGCGCTCTCACCAACGATGACCGCCGGTAACATTGGTGCATGGCAGAAAAAGGCCGGCGATACCCTGGCACCTGGCGACGTCCTCGTAGAGATTGAAACCGACAAGGCTCAAATGGATTTTGAGTTCCAAGAAGAAGGTGTTCTGGCCAAGATTCTCAAAGAGACGGGCGAGAAAGATGTGGCAGTTGGAAATGTAAGGAATCGACAAACTCCGAATGCGACTTGCTAACAATGGCACAGCCTATTGCTATTATGGTCGAAGAAGGCACGGATATCTCCGAATTTGAGTCGTTCACACTCGATGACGCCGGTGGTGAAAAGGCACCTCCCAAAGAACAGCCGAAGGAGGAGAGCTCCGAAGCCTCAGAGGCTCCAGATTCAGGGTCAGACACAGCACCTCCCAGCGGTGCAAAAGAACCTGCGCCAAAGGCTGAGGAAGCCGACACAACAGGCGAGAAACTGCAGTCGGTGCTGGACAGAGAGCCTAGTCTCAGCCCAGCTGCAAGAAAGCTTGCTCTCGAGAAGGGCGTGCCCGTCAAATCGATCAAAGGTACTGGGCCAGGGGGTCGGATCACCTTGTCCGATATTGAGAAATACAAACCTGCCGCAGGCGCTGCGCCAGCCGCGGCAGCCGGCCCGACCTATGAGGACATCCCGGCAAGCTCGATGCGCAAGACCATCGCTACACGGCTCCGAGAATCTATGAACCAGAACCCTCACTACTTCGTCTCCACCACACTCTCCGTCACGAAACTGCTCAAGCTGAGGGAAGCGCTCAATGCTGCCTCTGACGGCAAGTATAAGTTGTCCGTCAACGACTTCTTGATCAAGGCTTGCGCCATTGCCTGCAAGAAGGTACCAGCCGTGAACTCGAGCTGGAGAGAGGAAGGAGGTCAGGCCATCATCCGCCAACATAACACGGTCGATGTGAGCGTGGCTGTTGCCACACCTGTGGGTTTGATGACACCCATTGTCAAGAACGCGGACAGCATTGGTCTGTCAGCAATTTCGGGCGCCGTCAAGGACCTTGGGAAGCGAGCAAGGGATGGAAAGTTGAAGCCGGAGGAGTACCAGGGCGGCACTTTTACCATCAGTAATATGGGCATGAACCCCGCGGTGGAGAGATTCACTGCGGTAATCAACCCACCTCAAGCCGCGATCTTGGCCGTTGGAACCACTCGCAAGGTGGCGATACCGGTCGAGACCGAGGAGGGTACACTGACTGAATGGGACGACCAAATCATTGTCACCGGCAGCTTCGACCACAAGGTGGTGGATGGGGCTGTAGGAGGTGAGTGGATCCGAGAGTTGAAGAAGGTGGTAGAGAACCCCCTGGAGATGATGTTGTGAGTCTGTTCATGGGTTTGGCTGGATTTAGCGAGGCTTGATGCAGGGAAAGGCGTGTACAAAATACTTCTCCTTTACTTCTATTGGCAAAAGTTGTGCCTGCGATCCCCTGCCGTCAGTTGCCAGTAATTGATCTTGTTCGACATACACAATGGTCGAGCTCTACGCAAATATCAGTGCTCACCACTTGTCGTTCCGTCCTCTGTTGACGCGTAACGCTGACTGAGCAGCTTCTGTAGATAGAGGGTTTCTGGTTGTCTCAACAACACGTAAAGTTCTCGACTGGGTGCTCGACAAAGTCCTCAAACGGCGCACAAGGCTGGCCAATCGGGCAAAGCTTATCAGATCGGCCGAGCACTGCTGCGGCCAGTCCCGGCAAAGCCCGAGCGATGGGGTTCGCGAAACTTTTGTATGATGAAGGCTTCAGGTAGATCTCATTGCGGCCAAAGCAACAGACTTCCTCATTCCTCCAGCATCGATCCCTCCACACCTCCCTATAGATACTGATCTTGCGTACAATCTTCCAACCAGGGCTTCAGAGCCCTCCATGAGCCTAACTTCACGATTATCGAATTGGTTCACTCAAGACAGCTCCGTCGGAACCTCTCTGGGGGCGCAGCACAATGATGGATACCCGGGATCCGACTTTGATATCGACGGCGCACGACAGATTAAACGGCCGCGTACAATGGAGAGATTGGCGGAGGAGGAAGTCGACTTGGATTTGAAGAGGCCGCCATATATTCACGTAGGTATTTCCCAGTGAAGTGAACGACGGGCCATTTCAACCGGCTAACGAAGAACACAGTCGATGCTGGCTGGGGGAATAGGCGGCACAACGGGCGACATTCTTATGCATTCACTCGATACCGTCAAAACGAGACAGCAAGGAGACCCTCATTTTCCACCAAAGTACGCCTCGCTCTCCGATTCCTACGTCAAGATTTTCCGGCAAGAGGGGGTACGGAGAGGACTCTACGGCGGTTTTACTGCGGCGATGCTGGGATCGTTCCCTGGAACAGTCATATTCTTTGGGTCGTATGAATACTGCAAGCGACATATGCTAGATCGAGGGATCAATCCGTCAATATCATACCTCGCAAGTGGTAAGTTAATTGCCCATACATTTTCTACAGGCACGTGCTCACCACGTTCGCTAGGGTTCATTGCCGACCTGGCTGCATCCATTGTATATGTTCCCTCGGAAGTCCTCAAAACACGACTGCAGCTGCAAGGCCGATACAACAATCCTTTCTTCAATTCGGGGTACAATTACAAGTCAACCTGGGATGCGGCAAGGACAATTGCTCGGACCGAGGGGTTTGGGGCGCTGTATTCGGGTTACAAAGCGACAATCGTCAGGGACCTGCCTTTCTCAGCTCTGCAGTTCGCTTTCTACGAGCAGGAGCGGAGGTTCGCCCAGCAGTGGCAGGGAACGAATGATATTGGGCTGGGCTTCGAGGTTGTGACCGCCGTCTCTGCTGGTGGCGCTGCAGGAGTCATTACGTGCCCGCTCGATGTGGTCAAAACGAGAACGCAGACTCAGATCACGCCTGACCCAAGCAAGACCAGCCAGGCGTCCCACTTGGAGAAGGAGAAGGCTCCGAAGAGCAGCCCAAAGGCGGCAGGCAAGACGCAGACGCGGCTCATACATTCTGGGCCGCGCACCGTCCCGCACCACACGCCAACGCTTGATACTTCCTCAGTCATCGAGGGTCTCCGGCTGATTTACAAGACCGAAGGAGTCGCCGGCATGTTTCGGGGAGTCGGCCCTAGATTTGTGTGGACAAGCGTTCAGAGCGGAACGATGCTTGTCCTGTATCAATGTTTGCTAAAACAGATGGAGTGGTACCAGTCAGAGGAGGGGTCTGGAGTGATATGAGAAACGTCTTTGTATAGACTCTCTCGGCTCATGGCTGTGGATATGGCGAACAGGACGGACCTTGTTGCATTTGCAGGCGTTGACACCGGCCAGATCAGGCTTGAATGGGCCAGGATACCCATGAAAGGATTAGAAGCAGCATGGGGAATAGAGTGTACAATATCGAAGTCAGCTTTCAACTCAAATCCGCGTTGTGCGATGCCGGGTGCATATTTGTGGCAGGGATCCGTATCTTCCCACTGGGCTCTGATTTCCCCCTCAAGCTGGACAGCAGCAGGAGCAGCAAGCAACAAGGCCAAACCTGGAGAAGATCCAGGGGCAGCTTTGGCTTCGGCGGTTTTTGCTGATCGCCAATCATCGCTGCTGGTCGCGGGACCAAAGGGACTTAGCGTGGCAGCCTCTCCACAACGCCCCGATTGCAGTTGCACGAGTGGCACGAGAAAGATGCGTCCCCTATTTTTCTGGACATGGTGAGAGTCCACGTTGACTTAAGGATTGATTGACAAAGGGCACGCTCGCTACTCGTACCGTTCACAGACTTTGCACCTCTTCGTTTCGCGCACCAACTTTTGGGCTTCATCTCTTCTTCGCTGCGTCCCAGCGTTCTTCTTACATTCGCTTGGAGCCCTCTTCGGCCACTTTGTTCGTCGTGCAGTTGAGCAAAAAGTACGCCTCACATTCCCACATCTCAATGCCCGATGCCCCTGGGCGCAGGCAGCCCACAATCATTTCTATTGGACTCCTTCCACCGTCGCGATCAAGTTGTCCGTTCATCCAGACCGGGCGCGTGCTAATGGGACTTCTCTCGCAGTTACCTTTGTTTCAACCGTCTTCAGTGTCGTCTGCACAACCGCGGTCTTCGTCTGACTAAATATGGGTGAGTATTCCGTCACCACTCTGGTCCATTTCCTTTCAACCGCACATCACCTGTCGCGCCTTCCTCTGTTCTCCCACCGTCCCATGTCCTCCTAGAACTCGCTTCTGTTACGCAATTCATCAAGCAAGCGCGATGACAGCCGAAGAGAAAAGCAATCCTGGCCCCAGCACGGCCTTCAACCCTCCACATGTCCAATCCCCTCCAGGGGACCCCAAAAGCCCGTCCTTTCACACTCAAGTGACATCTGCAGACATCCAATTTGAGAATATGACTGACTCGAACGGAACTCCAGCTGCTGTGGCCAACGGCGTTCGATCCTCCCCGTCTCCTAGCATTCCCAATGGCAAACCTACGTCTCCCTTTGTCAAGGAGAGCAATCCCATGGGTGCCAACGCCGCCCAGACAGTGAGCTCAAAAGACCCAAAGGCTGCTGCGGCGGCAGCAAACGATATGCGAAATGTGGTCAGAAGGAAGTTGACAGGCTACGTTGGGTTTGCCAATCTGCCGAATCAATGGCACCGCAAGAGTGTCAGAAAGGGCTTCAACTTCAACGTTATGGTAGTCGGTGCGTCGCATCTACCATTGGCAGGGACTTGAGTGATACTAATACAGCGTAGGTGAATCGGGGTTGGGAAAATCTACATTGATCAACACTCTGTTCAACACCTCTCTCTACCCTCCACGCGAACGCAAGGGTCCCAGCCTGGACATTATCCCGAAAACCGTTTCGATTCAATCCATCAGCGCCGACATTGAAGAGAACGGGGTCCGCCTGCGCCTGACGGTCGTGGACACCCCCGGCTTTGGCGATTTCGTCAACAATGACGACTCGTGGCGACCAATCGTGGAGAATATCGAACAACGATTCGATGCCTATCTGGAAGCCGAGAACAAGGTCAACCGTATGAACATCGTGGACAACAGGGTCCATGCCTGCGTGTACTTCATTCAGCCAACAGGTCACTCCTTGAAGCCTCTCGACATCGAGGTCATGCGCCGCCTTCACACCAAGGTCAACTTGATTCCTGTCATTGCCAAGGCCGATACCCTGACCGACGAGGAAGTGGCGGCATTCAAGCAGAGAGTAAGAGCCTTCAATGCAACGTATCATGGACATGAGCTAACTCCGGCAGATCCTCGCAGACATTCAACACCACTCGATCCAGATCTTCGAGGGCCCTCGTTATGAGCTGGATGACGAAGAGACCATCGCCGAGAACCAGGAGATCATGTCCAAAGTGCCGTTCGCCGTGGTTGGCGCCAACTACGAGGTGACCAATCCGGAAGGTCGCAAAGTGCGCGGCCGCCGCTATCCCTGGGGCATCATTGAGGTGGATAATGAGGACCATTGCGACTTTGTGAAGCTCCGACAGATGTTGATCCGCACCCACATGGAGGAACTCAAGGAGCACACTAACAATGTTCTCTACGAGAACTACCGATCTGACAAGCTCATCCAGATGGGCGTGTCACAGGATCCCAGCGTGTTCAAAGAAGTCAACCCTGCTGTGAAGCAAGAAGAGGAGAGGACTCTCCACGAGCAGAAGCTGGCCAAGATGGAGGCAGAGATGAAGATGGTCTTCCAGCAGAAGGTCCAAGAAAAGGAAAGCAAACTCCAACAGAGCGAGGAAGAACTGTTCGCGCGTCATCGTGAGATGAAGGAGCAGTTGGAGCGTCAACGAGCAGAACTCGAGGAGAAGAAGTCTCGCATTGAACAAGGCCGGCCGATCGAGAAAGAGGGCAAGAGAAAGGGATTCTCGCTCCGATAAGCATCGCGCGGGATGCCCGGACCCGAACTACCTCTTCGTTCCCTTGTATTTGCAATTCAGCTCAGCGACGACACGATGACGGCGATATCCCCTCTTTCGACTCACCTTCTCTTCAAGAACTACATGTTGCGATCGTTCCCAGTAGGCAACAGACCGGAGCTGTTGTGGCGTTCTAATCACCATCACATATGATCTACCTGGGGAAGGGCTGTGAGGGAGCAGGAAACGACTTGGATTGTGCATAATACGAAAAGTCCAGTTTCAGCACACCCAGGCTCGGAATGAAGAGACATTCCGGACCTCGGTGGGATGGAATGAACGGGCTTAATCCGCCAGACAAGCATGTATATTTCCTTACTACGTTTGTGTCCGTTTTGAGCGGAGGTAGCGCTGGGAGAGGAATCGGGTTTCTTCTCAGCAAGCGACGTCTTTGTCAATTCATTCCATTGCGTTACTGGCGGGCAAGCTCTTTAGAAACCGAAAAGTGTGATTAACAAGCCATGTTCTCCGTTTGTAGAATCTCGGTAGCACGCCACTTTAAAGGCAGCTCCATTTGATGAGGCAAGTCAAACCACGAGGGCAACAGCGGCAACACGCACATTTCTACTATAGTGACATAAGAAGGTGTTGTGGGTGAGTAGAAGGAATACCTACAGGTATTTGGCATCCAGAACTCTGTCCGTGTAGGACCAAGGATCATCGTCTTGTTTGGGTGAGTAAAGTGCCAGTGAGGTGAGAGTCAGAGGGAAGTGAAGTGAAGTGTGTGGCTTGGTTCCACGGAGGTTGACATCATTGCCGCCCACAAACCACACAGCCAAAGCAACCCAAAAGCTTGCGCAAGTGCAACTCACACCCCGTTGAAGCCACTTTCACTTCTCCTCCGTTCACCTTCCCCAGTCACTGGTCCTTGATTCCCTGCCGCCGTTCGCCTATATCTTAGGAGAGACTCGCGTCTTGCCTGTTCTCTTTCCCTTACCTGGTTGACATTGGTTCTGGTTCGCCATTGACACGACGGCCACATTCCCCGTCTCTTGACCGCCCCTCCATCACCGAACTCTCTTTCCCGAGTAAAGCTTCAAGACATGGCTCCCCCGCCTCCGCCTACTCAGTCCTTGGGTGAACGTCTTACGAAACTCGCTACAACTCTGCAATTGTAAGATCGAGCTTTTCCTCCATCATGAGCAGCTGAGCTCCCTGCTAACGTTCTCACACCCACACAGTGCATGGTTCTGCGGCCACTTCACCCTCCTGCTATCTGTCCTCCGCTATGGCCTCTCCTACATGACCTTCAACTACTATTCTAGATGGGCGCAGTTTACATATCGCCTGGCCTTCACGTCTGCCGTCGCCACGTATGGCATTGTGGTCTTCAAGGCTTATCGCGCTCGTGTCAAGCCAGGCGCCAATATTCCTCAGACCGCAGTCTTGCTGCTCTCAGACGAGAATGTGCAATATCTCAGTGAGTAGAAACACCGAGAAGCATGGCAGTCCAAGATACTGACAGTGAATCTGTAGTCATAAGCTTGGTCTGGCTGTTTGCGAGACAGGTTCCCCTGGCTCTGCTCCCATTCACCGTCTACTCAATCTTCCACGTGGCGACTTACACTCGCACCAACATTATTCCTGCGCTTCAACCTCCCAAGGCTGCCTCAGGAAGCACTCCTCAGTCCCCTGGTGCTCAGAAGTCTCAGTCCCCACTCGCAAACTCTATCGGCCGATTCGTCAAGGAATATTATGATGCATCGATGTTCTTGGTGGCCATGCTCGAGATCTTCCTATGGGTGCGCCTCTTCATGTCCGCTTTGACGTTCAGCAAAGGGTCTTGGATCTTGTTGGGCGTCTACACCGTCTTTCTGCGGGCAAGGTTCTCCCAGAGCCAGTTTATCCAGGGCGCATTTGGCCAGTTGGCCGCCCGGGTTGACCAGCAGGTGCAGAACCCCAATGTCCCGCCTGCGGTCAGACAGGGCTGGGAGACGCTCAAGAACATCATGCGTCAGGGTGTCGAGGCTACCAACCTGCAGAAGTACTTGGGAGGTGCACAGACGCCTCAGAAAAAGCAGTCATAGAGCTGGGAACGGGCTCTGGGTTTGACAGGCCGAAATGTCCCGCCGCGCGCTACACAAGCGTGTGGAGGAGGCTAGACACAGACAAGAGAGCTAGGCGATGAATGGCCGGCAGTACAGCGGCCATGAACCCTGCAAGGGTCAACGAAGCTGTCCGGGGAGGGGGGGTTTAACAGCACCCAGTGTGCGATCTCTTTCAATGCCAAAATCCCGATCGTCGAGCGCACTGTGGAGTAAGGAGACGATCTTTGGCATAAAACGGTGTGTGATAGGGATGGGGAAGTGAGTTACAATTGCGTTAGATCCAGGGGCGAGCATGACATGTTGTTCAGTAGGATTGCTTAAGGCACAGTTTTGGAACCCTTTTGCACAGCACGACGGCAGGACGGGCGGCATGACGCGCGCGCACACACAGGGACTGCCACGTTCGCAAAGATTGCTTCGTACGGTGGCGACCACGACTTGTGTACTGTGTGCCAGGCAGGGTATGCACTCAAGCAGGATTTGTAGACAGCACCGAGGGAAATCGGATTTTGTAGTTTTCAGTTTCCAGCATTCCCAAGTTCTGTAGGTCAGGTACTAAGCCATTGAAGAAGGCAAATGATTTATACAAGTCACGCTGCAGTGTACATACAGTACACAGGACTGTGTGTACACAGCTCGGACTGCATTCTTCGACATAAGCAAGAGCATGCGCCCGAGGGCCACCCCAGCGAGACGACTTTCTTCAGTGTCAGCCATCCCCGTCATTGTCGTCGTCGTCGTCGTCGTCTACTTCTTCTTCTTCTTCTACTTCTTCTTCTACTTCTTCCTCTTCTTCTTCAGGAATATCCACCTCGGCTTCAGCATCCTCTTCGCTCTCTTCGGACTCATCTTCGTCAGGCTCGGCGTCCGGATCGTTTGGATCGTCGTCTGCGCTTTCTTCTTCTTCTTCTTCTTCTTCTTCCTCTTCGTCATCTTCTTCGTCTTCGTCTTCGTCTTCGTCTACTTCTTCGTCGACACCGTCATCGTCGTCATTGTCGTCCTCGCTTTCGTCTAATTCCCCTTGTTCTTCGCCGGATTCGTCTTCGCCGCTCTCGTCACTAACGGCTGCGACCGAAGTTTGCGGCTCATCCTCTTCGTCTTCATCCTGCTCCTCCTCCCCCTGACTACTGGATGATGAAGAAGCCTCGACGTCATCCTGATCCTCCTCTGCGTCGCCGTCTTCCGAGTCGGCTTTGGACGGGGCGCCCACGTCGTCATCATCCTCGGCAGGAGCGTCCTCCTCCTCTTCTTCTTCCTCCTCCTCGTCTTCGACGCTGCCATCCACCGTCGCGACGACGTTGGCAAGTCCACTGCGCCGACCGCTCCGTCGGACCGACGTGCCTGGCACCTTGGGTGACGCGCTCCGAGTGCCATTGGTGGAGCTTGCAGTGCCGCTTGCCGTCACGGTGTTGGCTCCGAGTAGGACGCCGCTCTTGGCAGCATTCCTGGGCGAACTCCTGACGGCGACGTTGTTCGCGCCGGCACCTGTGTCCGCAGCCGTGCCTCCTAGACCGTTGGTTTTCTTGCCAGGCGTGCCGAACGCGGTCGCAGCGCTGCGTTTCTTTGTGTTTTGGCGGCGGAGCATTGAGGGAGGAATGGGTGGATCGATTTGAAAGCGAGTGGGTGGAATGTTGTGTTCGCGGAAGGCGAGGGCGTAGCCGTACAGGGGTGGGGAGGGAGGCTGTTTTGGTTGCTCTGCCCCGTCAGCTTCGCGAGGCTGGTTCTGGCGTTCTTGCTCGTGGCTGTCCTGGAGATGAGGGTCGACTGGAGGTTCCTGGAACATGGAGGAAGTGCCGTTCACGAGGCCATTGACCTTTACTTCACTGTGGTCAGCTGCCAGCTGGGTCGAGACGACGCCATCAAGCGCGTTTGTGGGGGGAGGCCCAGGTGCGACATGGCCAAGCTCGTTTAAAAGAGAGGCATCTTTGACGTTGACCGCGTCACTTTCCTCGTGGCCGACAAGCGACTCCGGTCTCGAGGTAGCCATTGCCGACTTTGCGGTCGACTTGGGTGAGAGTTCCTCCTCAGCCACGCCATCATTGCCGACCAAGTCAGTAACACCAGCAACGGACTTCCCAGCCTTGGAGGCGACCGCTTGGCTGTCGAGTTCAACGGCTTCGCTCGTCTCTGCATCGTCTTGTTCCTCTTCTTCATCCTCGTCGTCACTCCTCGGGGCCAACGCATTAAGTGGGCCCTGCCCATCCAACGTCTCCCGGTCACTTCTTCCCATGATGTAAGGCGTCCAGACCAGTAACTCGGGTTTCATCTTGCGATGGCCTTTCCGCTCATACTCATCCACGATCCGCTCATACAGCTTCTTGTCAAACCTGATCGCATACGTCTTCGTGACCGGATCCTTGATGAAGGCGTACAGACGCTCCAAGGAATGAATCACATCGTCAGCGGTCATGCCTGTCCTCCCCATGAGAGTCTTCGTGCTGAATGGCGTATTGGATCGTTGCAGGTCAAGCAGATGTCGGGAAATCGTCAAGTCCCAGTACGAGCGGTATGCCGTCAGACCCATGTCGGACAGTGGCTTTTCCGGAGACCCTTCTTTGCGCTCGATCCTCGTAAGCAGGTACGAGAAATCAATTAGGAAAGTAGCGTATCCTTTCCTCTGATGGATTGGCATCACGAGGATACAGGATACATTGTTCTGGCTGGCTGGTCGTTTCTCCTTGCTGAAGTAGCCGACGAAATGGTATCCCAGTTCATCGTATTCGGTGAGGATGTAGAACAAGAACGGCTCGACGTCGTAGTACAGGGTTTTTGAACCAAGGAACATCTTGGCCATAAGGCACAGACATTGGCAGTACTCTGTCTTCTTGCGCCCGTCGACTTCCCACACCGAGACGGTGCCATCGCGATATATTTCGTCTCCGGGTGGGTGTTTGGCCGGGCACTTCAGTTTATGTCGATAGGCGACGAACTCGGATGGGAGGTATTTAAGGCAGAACTCACAGATAAACAGCCTCGACTCGTGTGAATATTCTTCTGGGTAAGGCGCGGCGTAGAACGTGTCGATGACATGCTTGCCAAACTGGATGCACTTGATCTTGCTGGGAGGCCCCGACACAGTCGATCGATTGGGTTTTGTGGTCGCTGATGTCGCGCCAGGCGTGGCTGAAGCATCGACGCCTCCGTTGATCTCCGCCTCGGCTGCCGCAGATGTTCTTCTCCGTTCTTCTTCTGCTTCCTTCCTTGCAATCTCAAATAGCTCACGGTCTTTGAGCTGTGGTAGCGAACGCGACGTGTCGGCCTCTGCCTCCGACAGAATGCCACCGTACGGTTTGGCATTGAGTTCGGCCTCGCGGTCGGTAAATGCCGAGGGGAAAATGAGGTTGTGTGTTGGCAGGGCAGGGAATTTGGGGACCGGAGGTTGGTAGATTGGAGCTGGGATCTTCGGCTCCTTCTTCTTTTGTTGCGCCTTTCTTTCTCTGCGTCGACCGGGCCGAGGAGGCTTGCTCAAGATGGCTTCGATCCGGGGCTGGTCTAGTCGGAAGGCAAGAATGAATTTGTGAGGCGGTGGTTTATTGAAGGGTCGATGCTGCAGGATCCGTGCAGTGGGTTTGGTGATTTTCATTTGACTCGACCGCCGCGTTGACATGGTTGTAGAGGTGCTGTCCACGGACAGGGCAGCGCTGGTCGTCGCCACGGCTGATGCCCGTTCTGTGGCCTTTCGACGCCTCTTCTCAGCCGGCACAGGTTCTTGAGTTGGAGACTTTCTCTTCCTTAGAGCACGGCCTCCGTCTTCACCTTCCGATATCAGAGGCTGCGCAAAAATCGAATGTGAGTTTGGCCTCTGCACGCCACGTGTGACGGGCAACAAGTCCCTAACAAGTCGAGGAGCCGAGTTCTTGGATCGTGCAGCTCGTTCTTTCGGCGACTCGGATTGAGCGACCTTTTTCAAGCAGTCCGGACATTGCCAGTGAGTGGTGTTATCGTCCTTCACTGCTTGCTTGCCTTGGGCGCATTTCAAATGTGCGCGGTTATTGCACTCCAAGCATACCAAGTCCAGTTCATCGCCTTGCCCATCTGGACCGTGGGTTTGCTTGCAGAATATGCACTCTGACCCAGCATCTTCGGCTTCCTCTGGGGCATCATCTTCATCCTCATCACCAGATTCAGACGCCGACTCCGCCTCCGACTCAGACACGGGTCTAGAAGCTGACCCAGATCTTGATACTGATTCGGATTGCGACGCAGATGATTCGAGCTCGGGTTCCAGGCTGCCTGAGCCTTCCTCGCTATCGCTACCAGCGTCTTCTGCGTCAGACTCTGCGGGGCCCTCCTCCTCCTCCAGGTCCCCTTCATTTGCTGCGCTTTCTTTGTCTCCGGTTTCTTGTCCTCCTACTGCTCTATTCTCTTTCTGTGGCTCCGCCTCTTCTTCGCCTTCCGCGTCCTCATCATCCTCTGCAACTTGGTTCGGCTCCTGCGCATCGCCGGCTGCGGGATCATTTTGTGGCATTTCGTCGTCCGGTTCGGCCTCGGCATCCGCGTCCGTCATTGTAATATCCCCTTCCCCATCAGCCTGCAACTCGGCGCCTCCGGCAACGTTCTCTTCAGCGACACGAACATCCGTGTCAGGCTCGCTAAGTTCTTCTTGCGCCGACCGTTGCAGCTGCTCCCCCAGTTCATAGTCGTCTGGGGCAGCAGCATGTATGCGAGACTGGCCCGAACCTACCAGATTGCTCTGGTTCTCTTCTGACGCATAATGGCCGTTCTCTGAAGGCTTGGGGTTTTCTCGGGGCATGGGGGGGCTGAGCTCATCGCCCGAAGCTGTCATTACAGGTCCCTCAATGCTGGGGGTCACAGTCCCCGTGCCGACGCTGGACAGCTCATCCGATTCCTCGGAAACTAGAGGTGGCATAGGGAACGACCAGTGAAAGAGTTTGTGTGGCCGTCGGTGCGTTTGTGCGTGGGCGGAGGGAGGGTAACCATCACGGTGTGGTTGTCACGGTCATTGTTTTGTCGTCGCTCGACCTCTTTCTGGTATAAACTGAGATTATAGGCGGCGCAATGCGACTAGGTGATCTTGCACCCAATTCCAAGGACAGTGTCTGGCGCAATGAGGGTGGCGAGGGCGCGGAGGGGCGCTTTGCAGGGCAAAGTCCGTTCTACGCGTCAGGACAAGCGCAACAACGATCGTAAGGTCGTAGCGGTATTGTCCCTGTGTTCTGAAATAGGAATTACACGTCGAAAGGATAATATCTTCTGTTAGAACAATTCTGCTCTCGTCGAGGACGGTTGGAAGCCGCAGTGCGGTCGGGACACTATCGCATCCCCATGTCGAGGTGGGTGTTAAAGCGGCCGTGACCATGTCCCCAATCGAGGAAAGTGCACTTGTGAGGTCAATCTGCAGTATGCAGCAACCACCAACTTGAACTGCAGACACCAGCAGCACGACGAGAACAGCTCGAGTGCCGCCTGTTAGAGCTGGAGAAGATATTCCTTCTGCGGCTCCCATACTTTGCAGCACTTGTTGCCCCGATTTACCACGGCCTCACCTGATCCTACGCCCACCGCCGGCCTTCATCATGGGTGTCCCCTTCGAAGCCCTCTTGCCATACGTGATTATGGTGGGCATGTTCGGCGTCACAGTATGAGATCAATGCCTTTCAGGAAATTGGTCGTCTAGCTAAGAGACATGACAGGGTGCTGGCCTCGCCTCAATAAGATACTACGCAAATGACTTCAAGCAACCGCGGAGACAGTTGGATGCCTGGGATAGACAAAGTGGGTGGAAGACAAAGACACACCCCAGCTAGATTGCTTACGGTGCTAGTGATGGAGCGAGATTACCGATTGACAGGCAAGATCAGAGGGCAATCCGACGCTGTGGCGGCACCTCCAGCATTCGAAGGTTGGTTCAATATGCAGATTCGCCGTGCGGCAACAACGCTAATCGTCGTTTAGTGAACAGCAGGTGGAAGGTCTGTCAAATGGGTCCTGGAGTGTTTGGACGATGACACTAACTGTTTCCCAGGCCGAGCCTCGGATCACTTAATCCCTTCCTCCCGCCGACAGTCACTCTATACCTCCCTGGGAGGTATTGTACATATGCCTAAAATGGGCAAGCAAGCATCGCTGGAGTTCGGATCCCCCTGATTGGAGACAGGATGCTTTGAAGATCATTTAACAGCAGAGGGCAGTCCCAATGCGAAGGAACAACTAAACCATCAACTTTACCCATCGTGTCCAACGTGCTTTGATCAAATACTGCTCTTCTGTGACAGCAATGCGCTGCAATCTATCAGCCTTCGACTGAGAGGTATTGCTCGAGCGAAATTCCTGTATCATTGTCGCTAAATGACGGCAAAATCTCTCATCTAGAGCATGCGTTTCCTCAAGGTGTAAAACATTGTGCATACTATTCGCTTTCAAGGTCGTGTTCCTATGGCCTTGCTATCAGCCTGCCCGTATTGTCGCAAACAATCTAGTAATTGGTGTATCTTTGTTTGACCCAGGCGCTTGGAATATCACACCACTGTCCAAGAACTCCGATGTCGGCTGCCCAGAGTTCCGACGTCCGACAAATGCTACTTTACAAGTCGCAGTATTCTTCCTTTCCTCCCTGCCTTGTCCTCCTACTTTAGTACACGATCATGCTCAAGTACAGTTGGTGTGCTGCCGCAAGAGTGTCACTGCAGAGAACAACTTTTCGCTCCCGTAGTAGCGCCGCTCTCCTGGCCGTGACGCCTCGCCGCCAGTCGTCGACAATGGGTATCGCAGCAGAGCTTCAGGACAAGCTTCACCGACTGCGGGAGTACTCAGCTTGTGATGTAAGACCATGAGGGCGTACCAGTGCTGAGATAGACTTACACTCTCAGGTATCGGATGCATTGCTGAAGCTGCAGAAGCCGAGGGCAGGCGACGTTGCTCGGGCGGGGTATCTTGCAGACATTGGTAGGATGGCATGTCCATTCCATTTGGTCCGTGATTGAGACAAAAGAAGGACCTGTCCCATCATCAAATGGCGAGAAGGTGATCGCTCCCGCATGCACTTTGAAACTGGTGGCGAAGAACGCTCCATCCTCTTTGCCGCCGCCTGCAGAAAGCACAGTTCCGAAGGGCAGTCACTGGGTAGACCTGACGGAACCTGGATCCGTTGTGGTCATTGATCAGCCTGAAGGTCAAAAATGCGCAGCAGTGGGAGGCATAATGGCCCAGAGAATGAAAGCAAGAGGAGTAGCTGGCTGTGTCGTTGGTGGTCGTGTAAGGGATATGGTTGAGCTTCAGAACTCTCAGTTGCCGGTGAGTGCGCAATCACCTCCAGTCGATAAAGTTCTTGCCTGTTGGTCCTGGACCTCTTCGTTGAAGGCATTCTGACTCTTTAGATCTTCAGATCTTCGCCTTGGGAAAGTCAACTGTCGGAACCAATGCTGAATCGACGGTGTATGCACGCAACATCCCAGTGTCGATAACCGGCGTCAGCGTCTCTCCAGTGCGTCCCACTATACTGCTGCTTCGTCTTGCCTAGAACCTACTGACACCGTTACAGGGTGACATTCTCTTCTGCGACCCTCAAGAAGGGGTAGTTGTCATTCCGCAAGACCTGCTGGACGAGACTCTCTCGCTCATTCCAAAGCTTGTCGCAGACGACGACAAGGTGAAAGAAGCGGTGCAACATGGGATGACAGTCGCAGAGGCCTTTAAGACATTCAGAAGCTGAACTCGAACGTGCGAAGAGCAGCAGATGGCATTCTTCACCTACAAAACACCTTCGCCAATGGTACAAGTGACAGAATCCGCGCAGCCCGTCCTCATCGCCCCGTTCTAGCTGACCCTCTTCCCCGTAATTTTGTCGTCGCAACTTGTCGCAACAGATTTTCTGACCTGACCCAGCCGTCGCGACCACAGCCTCTCTTTTTACGCGGTGTCGCGATCATACCATCTTCTCACCGGTCATTACGCCCAGACTTCTTCGCCTTTCCGCAACGCCATCATGACAGTCGACAAACGTCTCGTCTCCATGGTGAGTCCGGGTGACGCGGTGGACGACTCAGACACAAACCATGCTGGCGTCTTCTCATTTTCGTCTTTCACTCTGCCTTCATTGACGAAGCCGCGAGCAACCACCAAGAGCAATTTAACCTTCCAGCAAGAGATGGGTGGCTGTATCAGCAGACCGATTGTAGCCGAGAGGGTTCACGCAGGGTAAGTCGGATAAACAGTCCAACAAAACAATCACAACGGCTCTGGTCTCCAATCTTCTCGTCCCAGCACAGAGCCCATCCGCCGGCTTGCCTCCTTTCTACAAGTGGTGCCGAAACTAACTATGGAGAAGCATTGATGGCGGCCTTGCTCGCGCGCAGCCAATTGAACAAATCTTTGAGCCAACCTCGTCGCCAAAGAGAACGGCTACTCCCCCTTTTGAACCTTCGTGCCTGCTCACACCCGAACCCGAAGCAGAAGCCCAGCACGTCTACTCTCATCCTGAGATGCCGGTAATTCAAGGACCCAACATCACACCGCCATCCACCGTGAGGGACACGAGCAACTGTGCAAGCTTGCAAATGCCTGATCCTGCATGTCCAGAGTCGAATGCCAGCAAGCCATCCGCGTCCGCGGGCTCTCGCTTCTGGGAGATGCTACAGAATGAAAGACCAGACCACAAGGAGCGCTTCTTTGAAGATGTCTTCAATGTCCAACCCATGGTAGGTGGTAAGGTCAACAGCCATGTCATTAGGCCATATTACCGACAAGGCATGATGGCCGGGTACATCAGGACTGGAGAAAGCGATGTCGTCAAACAAGCCAACATTAACATTAACAAGTCAGCAGTGCTCGTCAACCAAGAATTCCGCGCCGCCGGGAGTCGCCTGACTTACGGCAGCTACTTGTTCTACTTCGAGGACCCGATCAACTGCCTCTGGTGGCTCAAGCACATTGGCCGGGGGAACTCTTCGAACGTCCGCCGACTGGAATGCACTTTGCGGTGCGGATGGCCCGACATCAGCCAGCCTGACCTCACGAATTTCGACCAAAGCCAAGAAGAGCTCTGGCATCGCGTCTTCTGCTATCTCAAGCCGCGCCACCAACTCACGGACCTCGCGCTCCTGTTCAACACGTGGGGATCGGTCGACCTCGTTTGTCGAGACGCCGGCGCGCCTGAATACCGTCAAGAAGAACTCGCCCCGTGGCGCGACAAGCTGCGTGACGTGCTCCACAACTTCCGCGGTCTCAAGAACGCCCTCATCATCGATCATCGCCGGGTGGCGTTCAGTGTGGAGGAGCGCGCCGAGTTCACGATGATGATGATCCAGGATCGTCTGTCCGTGTACCCGCCTCCTCCGCCGCAGCAGAGGTTGACCCTTGCCCTGTTCCTGGAGAAGCGCCGGTCGGAGTTGAGGGTGGAGGAGGCAGCAGCAGTGCAGAAGTCCCGACGAGCGCAGGAGAATAAGAGAAAGAGACAGGACAAGGATGAAGGTGAGAACTCGGAGCAGCAGGACGTCGAGATGGACGGCTGCGGAGCTTAGGCGGCTCCTCCGAAGCCCAACGACGTGGACCAGAACAGAGGCGCTCTGGGGACTGAGAGGAAACGAGCTGTTTACGGCCGTCGCCGACGCCGTCACGTGCACTCGGATTGGGATTGGATGCGGGTATGAATGACTTGAGAATGATGCACAGCATGTGCCTTGGACGAGTTGCGTTGGGGAAATGTCAACTGGAGTGCACTGACGATAGAGCATGAGATGCATTCAGCAGGCGCACTTTAGGCCTATCCTCTGACAGTGAGAAGGCCAGGAGACGGAATCGTGGTGTGCACAGCTGAATTGCAGAAACAAAGTGCTTGCTGACTGTGATAGGTACTTGGAGCACGCGAAAGGCGATGAGCAACTCCAGAATGACAGAGGCATGCTCCCCACATCTACTTCTAGTCCCGTTGGCCTATTCATATCCTCTGTCGTCGTGGACGCGCCACAAATCGAGTCTAATCCTCGGTCTTGAACGCAGTAACACGGCTCTTCACCACGTCCTCGTCCTCCTCGATGTCCAATTCGCGCAACTCGCCAGTCCCGACATTGTAGATCAGGCCGTGGACCTGCAGTCCCCTTTCATGCATGGCATCGATGACGATGGGATTCGCCAGCAGGACCTTGACGCCGGCACGGACGTTGAGCTCGACCAGTTTCAGCCCGCGTTGGACTTCGTCCAGGGAGTCGAGGAGCGAGAGATTCTCCTGGCGAAGCGAGCGCAGGGGCATGAGCCAGGTGTCGATCAGGCCGAGCTTCTTGTTGCCCAGGGCGGCGGCGATGCCACCGCAGGAAGTGTGGCCGCAGATGATGATGTGCTTGACCTTCAGATACTGGACGGCATACTGGATGACGCTGAGGGAGTTGATGTCGGTGTTGACGAGGATATTGGCGATGTTGCGGTGGCAGAAGATCTCGCCCGGGTTGAGGCCCAGGATGGTGGTCTCGGGGCAACGGGAGTCGGCACAGCCGATCCAGAGGATCTGGGGGGACTGGCCTTTGCCCATAGACTCGAAGAGCTCGGGGTCGGTCTCGGCGAGCGAACGACGCCAGAGGGAGTTGTTGTTGAAGGCCTTGGCGTAGGCATCGCTGCCGGGGCTGGTGGTCTCTGCTTTGAAGAACATTAGCAGGGAGCTCTTTGTTGCTAGCCAAAAAGGCGCGCCACGTGACTGGGTCGGGTCTGTAGGATTGAGAAGGGGGAAGTGCAGTGCAGTGCAATCAACGCCGGTGGAACTCTTTTGACTTTCACAGATGCCTTCAGCAAGAAACTTGGTGGAAGCAGCACATCTGGTGTTTGGCAACGCAGTATTGGGAGCTCATGGTGGGACAGTGCTGGATGGGGAGTGCGCAGTGCCAGCATAACAATGCATCGAGGGACGGGTGAACGTTTATCAGTAGATGGCATGGAGATGCTTGGATTCCCTACCTGAAGGCATGGCGCCGAGAGATTCCTCCTCGTCTGGTTGGCCTGGATCCTGCGTCTTGGAGGTGTCTAGTTCTTCGGAGCGTTGCTTAGAGCAGTGTAACAGTGAAGTGGTAGAGAAAAGTCGATGTTGGTGCCGGGCGGAAAAGGAAGCAGAGAAAGGTGGTAAAGCCGGAGATCTAAAAGGCGAAGAAGACGACGATGAATGTCGGAGAGTTTGCAACGAGATCTCGGTACCGGATCTACGATGCTCGCGTCCCGGGGACGGTGACGGTGCTGGTGCTGGTGCTGGGGATCCTGATCGTGCGAGCGGCGGACAAAATCGGGTTGTCCGAATTATCGGTCCTGGGTTTAACAATGCGGATCTTGATCTTGGTGCTGATGCTGCTTCTGCATCTGCTTCTGCTTCTGGCCGGAAAGCAGCGCTTCTCGTCACGCTCGGCGTTTGAAGGAGCCACGTCTGATCCCAGGTAGAGTTTGAGGAAGGTGTGAGACGTCGCACCGAAAAGGAAGAACCGGTCCCAAGACGCATGACGCAGGCTCAAGCTGAAGAAGTGACAGCTTTGTCATGCATGTTTTTGTTTTGGGGGGTGCTTGAATCTTCAAATCTCGATAATGAATTCATCGCTAAGGATTTCTTCTCACTGACGGATGGGGAAACTGTCGGCGCTGATTGGCGGGCTGATTGGAAACGCGTTCGGCGTTGGAGCTAGCTCGCACAGGGGGCGTGGGTTACCGAGTTTGGGGGGCTCGAAGGAGGTTTAGGCGGTGTCGCGGTGGAGCGTGTAGGCGATCTTCAGGCGGCGGGCCTCAGCACGGTTTTGGTGGGGGGTTTAAAGATTATTGTTGAGACCGCCTAAAACAGGGGAGCAGAAAGTACGGGCATGCGGACGCTACATATCTGTACCGAATAGATGGACCACAGCAAACAAAACGCTGTTGGATCACAGCAACTGCAACCCACCGCTGCCCTTATTACTCGCATCAGTCTGACTGCACCTTTACCAACCATTATCAACCTTTACACACCTCTTACACACCCACACCTATTACGCCAACAACGCTGGCCCCGGTGTTTGCCTTTTGTTGCCGAAGTTTATCATCACCACTCTCAGCCAGCCGTGTGCCTTATCTTTACTGACGATCTTTGACACTCCCTTTTGAATCTGATTATTGTCACTACTCCAAGCTAGTGGACGCGGCTGAAGCCTTCCGTCCATCAATCCTCGTTCTTGTTGAAGCCGTCGTCGGGCATATGGAGACTATTACTTCTTGGTACTGGCTCTGATCGGCCTCCTTCGTTGACGCTTGGCTTGTGACAGCTGTCAGACGGCTCAGGCCGCGTATCTGGATCAGCCCTGCAATCTGCTCCTTTGAGGGGCCCAAGAGCTCGTCGTCGGAGCACACCCGTCTTGGATGTGATATGCTAGGCAATGAATGGGCTATCTGACTACATACTCCGTACAGCTGACGCCGTTCTCATAGTTTCGGACCGCCCTTGGCGTTAAGCTGCTGACCTTGGAGGCCATTATTCGAGACGAACCCCCACCATCTATCCCAAAGACCCTTGGTCACCAGCGTTTTCTCATCCATCGGAGTGGTGTTTTGCAAATGCTCGAGCACAGCTTGCTCGGCGTCGCCCTCTGGATCAAAATACATGACACTGGGCACACTGATCGGACTGAAACCCAACTGCCACGGCCGATATTGTGGCGGCAGTGTCTTGTTCGGGCGGACGACATCCTGCGCCAGGGCGTCAATTTCAGGCCGAGATGCTGCGTTTCGCCGCTTCGCCTCGTCCCCGCCCGCCATGTTGAGCGTCCCATTGACAAAGGACACCTGCTGCTTGGTCCAAACACGCGGCATGCGCTTCTTCTCGTACAGCTCGATTGCCTCGGCGACGGTGATGGTGCCACGCACCACCTCTCCAGTGACAACGCCAAGAAACGCGCCATCTTCCATTGCAGTCGCTGCCCCTTGAGCCTGCATATCCTCCCGTCAGCGACGGCATGTCACGGCTGTATTCGAACCTACCATGTGATTCTGCATGCAATGGGCCGCATCTCCGAGGAGAACGACATTCTTGTGTTCGTTGGCCCAAGTCTTCATGGGGGGCATCACGAGCAAGGGCCAGATCTGTGTACTCTTCAGCAGCGCCAGGATCTTGCGTGAGAAGGGGCTCCAGTCCTTGTAGAGGCTCTGGAACTCGTCGATGTTCATCTCTTCGGCCTGCGTCACCACCCTGTCCATCTGGAACATTGCCACCACATTCAATTCCCTGCCGGCGGAAAGAGGGTACAGCAAGATATACCCGTCGGGTCCGACCCACGCGTCAGCCGTGTTACGCAACCACTGTTTAGCTTCCGGCACTTTCGCAAACACCTCTTCGTAAGAGAGGATGCCTCGAAAGGCAGCGACCGTCGATGCTGCTTTCGGCACCGCGTCCGGGAACAGGCTTCGACGAATCGTCGATCTGATGCCATCCGACCCAACAAGCAGATCAAAGGAATGCTCAACACCCTGTACAGTCTTGACTTTGACACCATCCTTGGTGTGTTCGAAGGACTCGACCCGTGACCCGACGATCAGATCGACTCCATTGCGGCGAGCACATTCGGTAAGCCCTGCGTGCAGGTGATCTCTTCTAACGACCCTGCGAACGCACCGTCAGTAAGTGGACCGGCTCCTTACATTGCACGAAAGGCGGAATGCCAACGTATCGCCCGCCACAACAACTTAATGTACAAGACCTCAACTGCTCAGCCCAAAATATCAAGACCTATGCCACTCACCAGTGCGGAAACCCCGTAAACTTCCTCCCAACCTTTGGATCAAACCTTGCCAGCAACTCATCGTCCAGACCCCACGTGTTGATCTCATCCACGGCAATCAAATTATCGCCAATGATCTTGTCCACGTCCCATCGGATGAGAAGGCGAGACACGTTCGAGAACATCTGGATCCCCGCGCCGATCTCACCCAGTTCCTTCGCCGCCTCGAGCAGCGTCACCTTGGCGCCTGCCCTAGCACACGCAATTGCTGCCGTGAGCCCGCCCATTCCGCCTCCGCAGACCCCGACATGAAGTTGTCGCGGTGCCATGTTCGTTGTGATGTGGTGTGATATGGACCGATTTGCCGTGGTGGTACCTCCTCCCCTTGTGGGCCACCGAGACAAACGTAAGAAAGATGATATCTCGCGCGTGCAGTGTTCGTGCTCGTTACTCGTCGCGACTGATGTCTCACTGTTTTCCGGATCTTCTTATCTATGTCGTCTCAGAGCTGAACCTGTGTCGCCACGCGGCAGACGCCTGACGACTGACGACTGACGTCGTGGGATGCCCGAAAGGGGCAGAGTATGTATGTGTGTAATATACTGTAGTCAGAACCACGCACAGCACGAGATGAGAACGAGACGAGATAGGTCGAGACAAGTCGAGGTGAGGAAAGTCGGGGTAAGGAGAGACGACTCGTTACAAATGCGTCGCCCGCTGCTGACACCGCGTCCCACCTCGAGCCTTCTATACCGCGCAAGTCGTAAATCTTACGTGAATGTGGTTTGTATATGAATTGTGATAAAATCCGGGGTAAGCGGGTACTTACGTACGTACTCCGTGCATACTACCCTTCTTTACCCCCTACCGTAACCTTTACCCGGGGTGCCGGAAGCCGGGGAACCGACCAACAGCCACAGCAACCGTACGGGCCTCATGAGTGTGTACTATGTACGGAGTACTGAGTACTGTGAGGGCACAAGCGGAGGCGCATAAAACCGAGGTTCAAAAACGAGGAGATTGTCGAATCAGCAAGTGCCATGGCGACGGACACCGAACGGGCCGAGGGGGTTGTGCGAGGACGAGTCTGTACCTGGAGACATGGTAGTTGGAGATACGATCGCCTTGATTGTTCATTGCACACGCTCTCATACTTAGTTCTTCGGTAATTATATTAAGATGTGAGGATGTGAGGATGTGAGGATGTGAGGATGT